TGACTGTGCTGGTACGCATGGCTTTTGGCCCCTGTGTCCATAGCAATGGCCGGGACTGCTGGGATAGCTTTCCATTGGGGTGACCCTCCACGGCCTTACCGCGCACGCAGACCCATACAGAGAAAAGGGCCATTCGCCACCAGGAATAGGACAAACCCCTCGGAGCAGCGACTGCGCAGGTGCTCCCAAATTAACAGCCAGCATGCTCCATAACCATTCTTTCGGTCAGAGAAACATGAACCTGTCTTTGCTTGGTTCTCCTTGGAAGAGGCGCAGACACAGAGCTATCGGCTTTGAGTCCGGGGATTGTCTGCGGTGGCGCCTGATGCGGGCTGTCCACCCACCACTGGCGCTTCCCGAGTGGATGCCAGTGGATGGATCCTTGTCAGGCAGGCCGTCATGACCAGAACAGCCAGCGCCGTCTCAAGTTCGTTCTGGGCTGTCTTTGAGGTGCCGGTGAAGGTTGTCGCGATTTTTCGTGAAATCCATTTGTTTTTGGTTTGTTTGGTCAGATCATGCTTGTTTTCGCCGGATTGGTGAGCGTGTCGTGTCTGAAAATCAATTTGCAATGGAGCGAACTGCCATCCCACTTACAGCCCAGCCCAGCGGCTTGGGGTGCCCTGAAAACCACCCGACAATTTGGAGATGGCTCCGCGTCTGTATAAGTGAGCAGACCAAAAGACAGGCGTGCGCACGACAGCAACACACGTCGAAAAGAGAGGTTTCGAAAGTGAAGGAGTCAAGAAGAAGAGGTACAAAAGGTTTGAGAGGGGAAAACAGGCGGGAAATGGGCAGCAAGAAGGAACGGGGGAAGGGGGGTAGATATGTGAAATACCTTACCTTGCCTTGCCTTTCTCCGTACCGCCAACGACCAGCCTGTGCTGTGCCTGGGCTTGCGACCTCACTTGAGCTCTCACTTCGGGGGCTTTGATTAACGAAATTTTCTCCGCTCAAATATGCTCCAATTTTGTTGCTCCCATTCAAAGTTATTGTCAATCTGTGTATCTTATTTCATTTGGCTTCAAACTCTTATTCACACGCTTATCTGGTCAAGCCGTGGTTCCTGAGTGGCGCATGTCTGCCGTTCATCTTCAAGATGGGACCAAGGATTGATTGAGTCTGACCAGCGAAACCACGAAAATTTAACTAATGATGTTTTGTTTAGAAAAAGATGTATCGATACGGGCCATGTGCTAGGCTCTGGAGGAATACATGTTGCTTCTTTTCCCTTCGTTGTTTCTCCAGTTCTCCTATTGTTTTCCAACCTCTGATCCTCTCATTTCTCTCTCACGATCCGACCACCCACTCACACCCAGGGTCGCTTGCGCACTGTACTGTACGATTCCAGATCACCCGCGCGCTGTTCTGATTCTGAGGTGGGCGACTGACTTGGCAGGGTCTGCTTGTGCCACGGCCCTAATGACAATGATCGGTTTCGATCAACGACTGCTTCTCTGCCAGAATCTTTCAATCATGGTTTTGTGGGTGGTTCTTAGGTTTGTTGAATTCTACTGGCGATGACTGAACACGTCCATCAAGGCTTATGGATCCTCCACCTCAGACTGTTACAAAGATTGGAGGATGAAGTGGCTTTGCCTTGCCAAGTCTGAATTGCAAAGAAGCGGTCTCGCTATCTTAGAAAAAGGCTTGATCTTCCCCTCTTTTCCCCTCCCAATCCCTCCTGAAATCGGTTTCTCAAGTCCCCTCATTTCCTAGCCGTGAACTGCGCCTTATCCAGTCGCCCTACATGCCATGTGCTTCTCGGTCGCTCTCTTCCCCTGTCGTGAACTCCCCACATTGATAGAGAACGGAGTCGGTGGCGAATAGTTTGTCGTGCCGCAGGTTACAGGAAGTCAATTGTGCCTCGGATTGCTCACATTATCTCTCGTGAAAAGTGTCTTTTGCTGGCTGGTCAGCAAACTCAGTCGTGGGTGGAACTGGACGTGAGGGTAAGCAATCCATGGACACGGCTGGGCCAACCACCTGTGATGGTTGCAGATCTGTACCGCCCCAAAAGGCAATCAACCTTCCTTCTCCTACCCAACATGATCGACATGTAATTGCCGTTCATTAGCCTTTGAGCCATTGACGCCCTGAGACTTTGGGGGAAAACGCCTCGTGTCATTGATAAATAAGACAGGCCCGATCCCAGCAGGTCCTGAAGATTGAACGTAAAACTCGCCAGAAAGAGAAACAATCATTGCTCTGGGTCACCTCCGAACAAGCATCACATCAGCCCTGGAGCTTGGGACTGTGTCACGGCTGGACGGTCAGGAGGTACTAGTACGTAGTAGGCAGCGTACAGAAGCCTGCATATAAAACGGCCCAGATGCCGTTCTGGCTTCCCCATGCATATACAAGTTACATGATGCATGATGCCATCGATAGACGGTTCCAGTCGCTTGCGGGACCAACAATCGCGTGGCATGGAGCCTTCTTCAGGAAACTACATCTGTTAGTGGATGCGATGCTTCCCGCATATCATCTTTGAGTTTGGGAATATATCGAATAAATGCACTGGCCTTGTTGCTCCCGAAGTGATTTCCATAGAAGCTGCTCAGTCTCATTTAGCTTTCCACATCTTTGACTTGCTCATTTCAGCTCTTCGTTTTCCTACAGGCCTACACGTAGCCCCACAGCGGCTTCCTCCTTGACGGGATGATCCCAAAACGCTGGGTCACCCTAATATCGGGCCGGGGCCTTGCAACCACCACAAAGCAATCCCCAGTCTAGGCCAGTATCGCCTATATCAGAGACTTCGGACCTTAGCCCAAGGTAGGTAGGGTAAGAAAATGATGTGGTTGAACAGCCTGTTAATTCCATCATTGAGTATTTTCCATACCTACTAAGACCTTCTACATAATTATCACTTGGGGCCTAAAGTTCTTAGAGGTTCAGCTCTGCCTTGGTCCCTTGGCTTCCCCAGATGGAGGATCTCAAAAATCGATTATACAATCTACCGTTTATAACCTAGGACTGTGTTTATTGAAAGAAAGGAAATATTCTTCCAGTAAACACAGCCCCCCTCTCACGATATCTGTCTCTTATTACATGTTGTGTTTTAACTTCTTCCGACTATCCGTTTGTATGGTATCCACGATTAAAGATTTGCCGCCAATGCAACAAGAACAAGGTGCATGTAGGATGTTGATTTCTAACGTAACAACATAGTACAAGTTTAGCACCTTCAAATCTTGACCATAGCATTTAAAAGGTAACCTAAAAAAAGTTACTTGGCTCTATCCATACCCATCTAAATGGACTCCAACTTCTGTTTGGTATGTTCCAAAACTGCCCGAATACCCTCATCCAAATCATCCAGTGCAAGGTACCCATCTATCCATGCAACGGTCTTCTTCTGTAATTCCGTGCGATCTGTTGTGGTTTCCAGGTACCGGTTCAAGCGTGAAAGTACCTCTCTGAGGTTCTTGGGAAACTCTGCTGTCTGTGGGTTTACGCCCATAATAGGCTGGCGAATGTGGACGTTGCATGTGGCTGGGTGGTTGGGATACTCCTGATCAAGGGTATCCAGAACATGTTGTGATATCCTAGGCTGAGCTGGGACATGTACGAAAGACACGAAGAGGTCGAAGAATACCTCCGCAGTGTTGGCGCTGAAGAAGGCCTGCTTCTTTGAGATATCGAAGATAGCCATAGGAATAGCGCCATCCATGGCAGGGTTTGATTTCAAATGCTGAGCCGTCTGCTTGTCAATAACCTTGGCTTGGGCGTTGGATGGCTCGGGAAGATCATCGTCGTCCTCATCATCCTCATCATCACTGTCCACAAGTCGCAGCTCGTCGCCATCCTCCTCACGATCAGGCCGGAGAACGTCCTGGCCGGGCTTTGCGACGGCCTTGCGCTTATCGACCTTTTCGAGCCATTCCATCTCCGTTCGCGCATATTCGACCCAGAGTTTTTCATTCGCCGTGCAAAAGCGGCAACCTCGCATGAAAAACCCACGCGCGGCAGCCATGTCGCCATTCTTCGCTGACCTTCGACCTGCCATTGTCCACAGCTCAGGGTCTGTAGGCATCATGCGTAGAGCATTGGTCATGGTTTTGCGCCAGCGCTTGGATGCTTTGACGCTGGACGTATATGAAAGATATTCTCTCCACAGCGCACTGCTTCCTGGATGTCGGTTTACACCTCGCTCGTAAATTGCAAGAGTACGGCCCTGGCCAGCATGGGCGGACTGGAGGTGTCGGATTCTGAGACGCTTGCAGCGTTTGCTGCGGAGGGACTCAAGGGACTGCTCCCATTGCGCGTAAGAAGACCAATCCGATGGCTTATTCCCAGGTGAGAGGATTCTGTGCTCGTAGTCGTTGCGTTTCTGGACGATTGTACGAATCTCATCCTACGAAAATGATGGGTTAGTTGACAATGTCCTCTGGCAAACTTGGAACGCAATTACCTTTGAAAATACTTCTTTCTCCTCCCATTCTCGTAGCTGCGGTACAGCGCGTTCGAGATAGAATCTCGCCTTATCAGCGACGCCAGCCATCTTACGTTTGTGCGACCAAGAGGTATTGGTATGGTTTAGAAGGTAAGGTAGGTAGACAGCAAATTTAGGAAGTTTTTTTGCCGACAAGGCTGGCAAATCAATAACTTTTTTAGCGGGGCACCTTTCAGCCTCGTGGTGGTCGCGACGGCGGGAACCAAAATGGAAATCGCCGTCTAACGTTAGGCTGTGTATTTCTCGCTTGGAGTACCTGGCCTTTGATTCGCTTCGGGAGCGCGCGGGCCAGTGTCAAAAAATAATATCGATTTCCGAGTGTCCCCTGCCCCGGTCGGTCTCCACTTAGCAATTACACTTCCAAGTATTACGTCGCGGTGGAGGTAACGCCAAAGCTCCGAGGTCTGTTTGTCTTGTCCGAGAGTGAATCTCACCACTTGCATGATCGTGTTCTCTCGTCGCTCGTTCTGAGATTTTGACTCTTGGTTCCCGGATCGCCCGGATGGGATTTTAGAGTGTTTGTTCAGTCCTTCTCTCCTTCAAAATGGCTTCAAAATACAAGGACAAAGATACAGGCGTTGTCCTCAGCTTCAATGGAAGCTTGGTCAGTTGGGCGCATACTGCTGTCGCGTATAGTATGGTTTTGCATCCTCCTCCGTTGTAGATATGCAACTTGGATGACTGAGACGCTGATCCGTGGTGTTATAGCTGCTTTCTTTAGTGCATTGGTTATTGGCGTTTACCTACACTACCACAAGATCGTACAGAATGAGTTCTATGGTTATCCGCAAGAATGGTTCCCCTCAGTCTCAGCGACTATTGGCGATCGGTACCCCGAGCGATCGTTCTTCATGATATTCATTGCCATTACATCCGGTACAGCATAATTGATCGAATGGTACCATATCCGCATTGTACTGATGGCTCCTAGGTCCTCGGTTTGCCCTCGTCGGTTTATGGTATCTCCTCACGCGAAAGCCCGGCCAGAAGCTGCCTACGTTCGTTGCTGTTATGGGCCTACTTCGAACTCTAACCTGTGGCGGCTGGACATACATTACATCTACGGATGACCACGATTGGCATGATATTCTCATGATTTCCTACATTGTTGCGACGCTTCCGTGGACAACTGGCTGTATCGCACTCAGCCCCGCCAATCCTCAGGCCATCAAATATCGCAAATACTTGGCATCTGCTTTTTTCGGTACTCTTGTGCCACTGATCTATTTCTTCATTCAGCACAAGGTGCATCGTGTCGCTGGAGGTAAGACAATGGTTCAGCGTCGTTGAAATATAGCCAACTAACGCTACAAACCAGCTTACACCACTTACGCCTTCTTCGAGTGGTCGTTGATCATCTTTGATGTGGCCTTTGACGCCGTGACGGCTCTCGATTTCAGTACCTTCGCTATTGAGGTTAGAGATATCAAGGGTGCGAGCAAGGGGTACGTTCAATGGCTTCCCAGATAGTCTTTGGCCTCCAGAACAGCCGTTTGCGAAATATACATGTTTGCAGGCCATTGTCTAAGTCTTTTGCAGTGAGAACCTGTCGTCTATCCCATCCGCCGTCCTGGAAAAGGAGTAAGTACAGAATTAGCGTGAGGAGAATATTGTCATTAACCAAGTCCTCAGAAAGGAAAAGGCGACCGGCGGTATTTTTGCTGTTCGCTTCAGCTGGCCCGAAGCACTTGATATTGCCGCTGAAGTCTACCATGGAGTAAGCTCTCTATGTTGGGCGGAAACGACGATTTACTGACCTACCCTAGTACGTTTTCTGGACGATTCTGACTAGTCTGGGGCTTGTAGTGTGGTGTAAGTCAATCTAAATCGTTGATTGAGACCTGTGTGACCCTAACTCAATCTCAGACTTCCCGCTTTGGTACATGGGCATTTCAGGATACGAAGTTCTGGTCATGACAACGATTTCTCCCTTCGTTCTGGCCAGCCGTTCAGCTCGGTCTCTGGTGGTGAACAACTTGCGCGCAGTGCACCTTCTGTCTCTCGCAGGCATCGCGGCCTATCTGGTTGAGGAACCCAGTTATCGCCTGTTTACGGTTGGATTTGGCGTTTTTATGTCGTGCTTGGGGTGGGCCGGTACCCTTTTTGCAGAGTCCGTTCACGAGGGCCGCCTCGAATCCAAGATCCTGGGTTGGATGATTGGTCTTATTCTTTCCTCTACTGCCAAGTTTGCGTGGTGGACGAATAACCCTATTTGGCCTATTATGCATGCTGCGAATGGCGGTTGGAACAACACTGGTCTTGTGCTGGGTGTTCTAGCCGCTCTCCGCTTCACCAGACGAGCACCCCTCGCTGCCGGTTTGGCTCCACGGCCTGCCAAGAGTAGCTCGAGTTTCCTCTCATCACTCGGTCTTGCTGGGTTGTTCTTTGGCCTCCACTCTTTACTCTCTGATACCAGCACCATGATCCTCTGGGGATGGGAGGGCTATCCCATTCGTGGCCCATACTTCTCCACACATGGCTGGCTCACTGTTCTTGCCATGTCGCTTGGTCTGTTCGGCGGAGTCTGGCAGCCTAGGCTTGCAAGCAGCTGGGGGGTCTATATCATCGGTACGGTCGGTGCTATGTTTTTGACCTTCTTCAGTCATTGGCCCGGTTACTACGGCGCTCTGACGCTTGCCACTTACTTGATGGCATATTCTGTGCCCATTTTGACCCATGCAGCCAAGACAAATCCTACGACAACTTTTGGCAATGGTTTCCTCATCTACAACTTCTTGGTACTCTTCCACGTTTGGGTTGTGGCATATGCCTTTGTCCCAGGTGGCCAACTTGTTCGTGAGCACACTGACTGGATCATGTATACGATGATGACCTGCATTGCTGCTGGCGTGTATGGCATGAACGCCTCAGGTCATCAACAGCAACCTTCGAAACGGTCTGTGCCAATCCAGCAAAGGAAGTATTTTGGTGTTGCGACCATCCTAATCAATGTTTTCTTCTTGGTCTCGGCCTTCCAGCGGTTTCCTAGTAATAACTATCAGCCTTATCACGCTGATGACCGAATCCTCACTGCAGGTATTTGGACGATCCACTTTTCGTTTGACAACGATATGTGGGCATCAGAGTACCGTATGCGAGACCTCATTAAGGAGCTGGAAATTGATGTCATCGGTCTTCTTGAGTCCGACAACCAGCGTATCATCATGGGTAACCGTGATGCTACTCAGTTCCTTGCTGAGGATCTCGGCATGTATGTCGACTACGGTCCTGGCCCCAATAAGCATACATGGGGTGCGGCTCTTCTGTCCAAGTTTCCCATCCTCAACTCGACGCATCACCTTCTACCTAGTCCTGTCGGTGAACTGGCTCCTGCTATCCATGCGACGCTGGATGTCTATGGTCAGCTCGTCGATGTATTTGTCTTTCACTCCGGGCAAGAAGAGGATCCTGAAGACCGACGTCTGCAGTCGCTTTATCTCGCTGACCTAATGGGCTCGACCCCTCGGCCAGCATTCTTGCTTAGCTATTTGGTGACAAAACCAAAGGAGGGTAACTACAACACTTATGTGAGCGAGAAGTCGGGTATGAAAGATGTAGACCCGTCAGATTGGGACCGATGGTGCGAATACATCCTTTTCAAGAGACTCAAACGTGTGGGATACGCGCGCGTGAGTCGCAGCTCCATTACCGATACGGAACTACAGGTTGCCAAGTTCAAGATCCCCGAGTCCAAAGAGGAGATCGAGAAACTGGATGCCCAGCCAGATAAGGAGCGCAATCGCCGAGTTAAGGAGGAGGAGGTCCCTGAAGGCTGGAGATTCCCCACAATGTTCCGGGGTGACGGCGTGCGAGAGCACAGATACCATGTGTTCAACGAGCCCAGGTATTTCAACTAGAGGGACTGTATATTACACTGGGTAAGGGTTTGGGCAATACGACAAGGGTACGTCTCGATGCCGTATATGCTCTTCATATTAATGGGAGGAGTTAATGGGATAGGGCAGATATGGATGATGAATAATGTACGGCGGTGATGTTCATGTGCTTAATTCTTGTGCACGCAATATATACTCTTGTTGTATGTGTATTGGCTGTATGATAGTGATCCGAAGATGCAGCAAAATATTCCTTGTCGAAAATACTTATCTCTCGAGGCCAGTGCTATAGGGTATTCCCCATCCATTATTCACGGAGCAGGTGATTCATGTGGTGTCGTCCATATATAAGATCCATTTGAAGGCAATTGTTTACTAGGTGCCTGACGGGGAGTGTGTGTATTGCTTACGGGGTCAGCGCGTGGCATTATAGTTTGCCATTGTTTCAATAATGTTTGTTATTCTTCCACACAAACCTCCACGACCGATGTAAAAGGCTTGTGTTCCAGCGAGATAACAGAGTTACAATGAACCTCAAGTATATTGACGCAGACTTACCACGAAATCGGTCAGCTGCTGACCAACAAGGTCCGCCGAGAGAATTACCCTATCGTATCCATTTCTGGATGTATTTCTGCAAAAGAACCGTTGTCAAGCTTGCATCATGGATGTACACTGACGAAAACTGCAGATTTCCGTGCCCACCCCGCAAAGAAATATCTCCGTCCCCACTCGGACCGCCGAAACTCCACAACGCCGCGGTCATCGTCGGGCATGTGAGGTTCACAAGCCCCTGTCGCCCGCTGATGCGCCAGGTATGACCAAGAAAAAAGAGTATCTGTGTGATTCCGCATGACGGACCAGAGCCGCTTGTGTGATGAGTGCCGAGTTGGAGCAAAGACCGAGGGTTCAACAATCATTCGTATTACACACATTATTCATGACGGCATAAAGACCTTGGCTTGACGTGGATAACTGATTGGCGGCTGACTGTCCTTTTTTGAAATGACAGGTGACATTTGGAGGTGAAGAGGCTGGACTAGGAACAACGCCTGAGCATTGCTGTGAGCGAGCCAACGATGTATTGCATCACTATGATGGTTATTTCACGAGTGGGAGTCAACGGGATTTATATATTAGATCTGAACACTGGACGGATAACTACCATTGTAAGAACGCTGCCAATACCAAAGATTAAAATTCCGAGTTCATGCCCCTCGTAACTGAGAGTCAAAGCTAGATACAATCATGGATTGAAATAATAACAATTCCCCAAATGGCAAACTCAAAACCCCACAATCTCAGAAGCTCCCCCACAATCTCTCAATTCTCCGCGATCCAATACTGTTCCGTCGTTTCCAATCCGAACTTAGCCGCTTGAAGACTTCATGGCTCACCCCTCCACCTTCAACAAGTTTGTGATTATTGACAAGCTTTGTGTGCCGCCGCCAGCCGATTATGAGCGTCTCGCCTAGACCCAGACCAGGGATGGAAGAAGTCAGCGAAACATGAGAAGTGGGCGGGCATGATGGGCTAGATAGAAAAGAGGGTGGTCATGGGGCTGCTGTCGTCGTGTAGGTATGGAGGTGTATCGCTTTCTTTCTTGATAAGACGTATATAACTCCTCCGGGGCCTCCGTCTCTCTTGATCTGTTGTCTACCTCTTATTCTCACTGCTTCTTAGAGACTCACCCTTTCTGCGTGTGAGACAGACAAGATGACCTTCAGCTTAACACATCTGTTGGTATACGTGGGGTTGTTGTTTGGAGGACTAGCCCTCTATGTAAGTCAACACTGCCTACAGCTTCTATGATAATCAGACACTCATATGTGGCCAGGGCTTCGGCATTGTTGTTTACCGGGTCTTCTTTCACCCTCTAGCCAAGTACCCAGGCCCATTCATCGCTAAGATCACAGATGGATACCAGCTCTACCACGCCTGGAAAGGTGACAGACAGCTCGAGTTCTGGCGCATGCACCAAAAATACGGCCCAGTTGTCCGCTTCGGCCCCAACTCGCTTTGCTTCAACTCCAACAAGGCTCTCAAGGAGATATACGGTTTCCGCACAAACGTCCGCAAGGCCGAATTCTACAATGCCTTCGTTCACCCTACCGCCAATACGCATAACACGCGCGATAAGGAGGTCCATGCCCGTAAGCGCCGTGTCATGTCTCAGGCCTTCTCCGAGAGCGCTATGAAGGAGATGCAGCGATACATCTTGGGTAACGTCCGTACTTTCTGCGAGCAGATTGGTATGTTGGAGGGTTCCGGAGAAGAGACCAAGGGCTGGACCAAGCCTCGAAAGATGAGCGACTGGTGCAATTACCTTGCTATGGATATTCTTGGCGATTTGTGCTTCGGCAAGGCTTTCCACATGCTCGAGAGCCCGACTAACCGCTTTGCCCTGGAGCTTGTTGAAGCTGCTACAACCCGCCATCTTCTCGTAAGTGTACCTGCTATCTTCCGATTTGGCAAGGGATGAAACTGACCTTCATAGTGTGGAACTATGCCCATCGTGAACAAACTCAATCTGGACAAGATCCTCTTCCCTGGACTCGCTGCTGGTCGTGCTCGCTACATGGGCTACAGCAAGGGCCAACTTGCAGAGCGCACCAAGCTTGGCGAGGAGACAGATCGCCGCGATTTCTTCTACTATCTTCTTAAGGCTCGCGATCCCGAGACTGGCCAGGGCTTCAGCACTCCTGAGCTCTGGTCCGAGTCCAACCTACTGTAAGTGGTACCAGACGACTCCGTTACACTCCAACTAATAACTGAATAGTATCATTGCTGGATCTGACACCACATCGACCGCGATGGCTGCCACCCTCTTCTACCTTGTCCGATGCCCCCGCGCTCTCGAGCGAGTCACCGAAGAAATCCGAAGCAAGTTCAACGATGTCGAGGAGATCTGCCAAGGTGCTGCTCTCGCATCTTGCACTTACCTCCGAGCCTGTATCGATGAAGCTATGCGTCTCTCTCCATCTGTCGGTGGTATTCTTCCACGTGAGGTTCTCGCCGGAGGTATCACCGTTGAAGGCCGTGCGATTCCCGAGGGCACCGTTATTGGCGTTCCCCATTATACCATCCACCACAATGAGTCCTACTACCCCTCACCATATGAGTACGTCCCTGAGCGATGGCTCGTTGGTGCCCTCAACCCCCTCACTGGCGAGAAGACAACCGAGGATGAGGTTGCTCTGGCTGCCAGTGCATACTGCCCCTTTAGCATTGGGCCCCGTGGCTGTATTGGCAAGGGTCTCGCCTATGTTGAGATGACAAACACACTTGCCCGCACTATGTATCTTTATGATATGCGCAAGGCTATTGGTATCGTGGATCCTGCCGAGGGCAACCCTAAGAATGAATGGGGTCGACACCGACCAAGCGAGATGCAGTTGGTTGATACATTTACGAGTGCTAAGAACGGACCTATGATTGAGTTCCGTAAGGCGGCACACATCAAGGCGTGAGCTCTATCGTATAAAGAGTAGGAGAGGAATAGGAGTTTATGAAATGGATGTACAGGACATAAGACACAGACACCTACCTACCTAGGAGGTAAGGTAGTCAGGGAGATGTTAATTTTGGATCCGGTAGGAGAAGAACTCAAAACTCATGATTGAATGGTACGAATAGTTGAATGAAGCAAAAATAAACGAGTTAAAATTGAAAGTGAAACAAGTGGAATAAAGACCTTTTTATCTCGAAATTTGCTGTAGAAGTTAAACAGCTTCCTAGAGGCAGTATAAATTCTGTTAAATAATTATTAAGTGACAAGTATTTAGATAAGCTACCTAGGTAGGTAGAGATAAAGGGGCAGAGACGCTTCTTAATGTATTTATCGAGGTCCCTTCTTCCCAGTCCAAATGGAAAGGAACATGATGGACGGGAAGCTTTCTTGCTCCACGGGGCAGTGCTCCAGTGAGCTTCAGGCTCTAGCCCATCGGTGACGACCCACTAATTGAGCACTTGTGACAAGCGTTCGCAAAAACCCGATGGGCCCAACGAGGCTGGGGAAAGGCTGAGAATGCTTTCTATCCTTCTCTAAACTTTCTCTGTTAGTTATTTTCTTTCCCTCTCTTAACTTCGCTTTTCTAGACATTTGAAATAATCCACCCGAATCCAGCGAACGCGATTAATACGCAACTGGAGTATGTCATGAGGCAGTTTGGCACTTGGCTCATTTGACTCCTGGCGCGTGTCCAAGTTTCTACGCTCATAATTTGACTCGACCAAACCAACACGCAACTCGCAGTCAATCATCGTCAAAGGATGACTTTGTGTAAATTTTTTCAGCAGGGCAACTGCAAATTTGGCAGTACGTTTAATTTGGATTCTGTGGGCTGCATTGTTCTCCTTCTGATCACACTGACTTGTCTATAGATAGTTGCAGATTCGAACATGTAAACCCAAACAATCGAAATCAACCCTCGAACCGCTTTGGAGCTCTTGGAGGAGGGAGCAATCAAAACCCTGCTGGTACGAACAACACGATAGATGTTGATACACGGGATAAGAATTGACGACTCAGCAGACAAATACAACATTACTATCGACACCATCGAAAAGGATTTGACGAACGAAGTTCCGCAATGGATCCTCTCGGCCTATGCGCCAGGGCGAGATGCTCCTGGTCAGCTCTTTGGCGGATATCCGCGCGAACAGAGCTTTGAAGAGCTGCGGCTACACTTCATGATGGGAAAAGCGTCGGGGAACGAACAGCAAGCTGTGAGCGCCCATTCAATCGGTCTCTATGCGACCGTCCAGACTGACCTAGATTCGACCGCAGCTTAACGAAGCCCAAGAGCTATATGCCCAAGCACAGCAACAAATGCAGACCGCTCTGCGCGACGTTAAAGGAGCAATTCAGTTTATCGTAGGCGAAGAAAATAATCACCCGAATCGGCACGATATTTGCAAACAGGGAACCCAAGGAGCTCCCTTTGGCGAATTTCTCGTTGGGAAGCGACCCAAGTCGACAATCGCCGATACTGGCGCTCAGCCAACCCCGTTCGGGTCCAACAACACCAATGCTTCAAGTCCTTTTGGTGGTGGCGCACCGACCGGTGGAAGCGCCTTTGGGCAGCCATCGACTCTCGGCGCGAAACCAAGCGCGTTTGGTGCACCGTCGTTTGGTCAACCATCGCAGCCAGCTCAAGGAGGAGGCTCGGTCTTTGGTCAGCCATCGCAACCTTCAGCGTTCGGACAACCATCACAGTTGGGTCAAACCGCCTCAGCATTCGGCAAGCCAGCGCAAGCCTCAACCTTTGGCCAGCCGTCACAGCCAGGCTCTGCTTTTGGCCAACCTTCAGCTTTAGGCGCAAAGCCCAACCCGTTTGGCACACCAGCCTTTGGACAGCCTTCGCAACCAAATGCCCAAGGCAATGTCTTCGGCCAACCGTCACAGCCAAATACACAAGGCAGCGCATTCGGTCAACCGTCACAGATAAATGCGCAGGGCAGTGCCTTTGGCCAAGCCAGCCAACTTGGCCAGAAACCGAGTCCCTTCGGAGCACCAAGTGGAACGAACAACAGCTCTAGCCCATTCGGTGCCGTCGCAAATAACAATAGTGCCCCTGCAGCGAACCCATTTGGTGCTCCGAGTGGTAGCGCAACAGCCAGTCAGCCTGCCAATCCTTTCGGATCCAACAATAATAACCAGAACAATGCCCCGGCGAATCCGTTTGGACAGCCCTCACAGCCTGCTCAGGGAAGCTCGCCATTTGGCCAACCTTCCAATGCTGCAGCACCGGCAACGTCAACACCATTTGGTGCATCTAACGCGACCTCAAATCCACCCACAAACAGTCCATTTGGCCAACCTTCACGGACTCAGTCGAATGGTTTTGCATCGCAGAATAACCAACCACCAGCGAGCAATTCATTTGGTCAACCCTCGCAGCAGAAACCAGCGAATCCTTTTGGTCAACCCTCCAACGCTGCACCAGCTGCCGCGAACCCGTTTGCTACAACACAGGCTCAAAAACCCCCAGCGGCAGCAGCAGCAGCGACAGCCGCCACTTCGACAGGCCCATATCCACCGACCAGCAGTAGACAACATCCACCAATCGAGAGCTATAGCTCAAAAGGCATGGATGGTCGGCTATCAATGTTCAAGGGCAAATCAGTTATTTACAAGGATGGCAAGCCCGGAATCCGAGAATTTGATGGGACCTGGCGACGGATTTGGTTCCCAGATGGTCCTCCGGCATTCTCAGCGGATACAGAATTGCCCCCTGAGATGTACGACGACAAGTCCAAGGCTCAGTGGATGGCCTTCGCACAGACTGGGACCTTTGAGGGTGGCCTGATGCCCGAACTCCCGCCTCCCCGAGAATGTACACTATGGGACTTCTAGCCAAGGAGTCGAGTCAGTTCACAACTTGTTTTATATATGATGTGGAGATGAGGAGTCGAGGATGAGTAGATGGCGTTAGACGATTCAGGAGAATGCATTAATTGGCGTTATGTATAATCATTGGGGATTGTTGGATGCATAATCTAGACAGTAAAAGAAACAACTTCACGAGGCAAGCAAAGTGAAGAGTGGCATCAGTGTCAGTGCAATTTCAGTAAGTTGCTGTGTGGTTTTGTTACAGCAGGCCCTATTTCAAGTGGTTAAATTTATAAGAGTTTTATCGAATGCTAGAGAATATCAATAAAGCTCATCAGTGAAATCCTCTAAAGATGTTTGCTTAGTGTTTACCTTGTAGCATTAACTACTACCTACCAGGGCAGCTCTCGGGTAAAAGATGCACTAGTCCAGGAGCACTTAAGCGCTTTCATAATCAGAGCCATTGATTGGCTTAAGCGGTAGAAAAGTATCTTTGTATCTCCTCCAGGTTGACTTCATCAGCTTGCAGCTGTGAGAATCCACTTTCTGATGAATCATCCGGCGATGCAAACGCACGCTTGAGCCACGATATTTATGAAGGTCATGGACGGCAGTCTATAAGATCGACTCGCTTTTCTCTTGAAATCCTCTTCAAGCACAAAATTGCACTCATTTCAGCGTACAACATCAAGACTTTACCACGCACACAAAGACACACAACCATGGTCTCTTTACCACCCCTCGCACCATTCCCCCAGTCATCATGGCGACAGCATCTCTCCTCCAGCGAATGGGATACGCTTCTACAATCCTGGACATCTATTTGCCGTGCCATTTCGTCCCTTTCTGAAAAGGAAATCAAGGCAGCCTTGGCCCGTGACGACTCCATTGCAACATTCCTAGTCTCCTTCGCAGAGGAGACAGCAGAGGCAGGCTTCACAATACTAGACTCTCACTCGACAACACTACCAAAAGCCGTATTTCAGCTCGTATCGAGGATCTTCAATGTATCTCCGCCTCCTCAGCTATTCGATTATGCGTTCTTGGCAAACATCGCAAGAATATTCCCCAGGAAAGCTACTGCCCCTCTCATTGCACAGCTCTTTCAACGACATGCTGCTGCGCTTGAGGCTGCATTGACTGCCCTGAAGAAGCAACTTATTCCACAGTTAGAGGCTGGTATCAAGGGCGATTTGAAGAGCGTCGAAGCTCGCTTGATACGACTGAACTATCTTCTACATGCTTCGTCGGATACCTGCACTTTATTCCTTGCGGGATCTGATTTCCTCGATGGCCTCATTGTGTGCTTCCGCGTCATGAATCCTCCTCTACGCAAAGTGATATTGACCACGACGTATCTATGTCTGGTTGGGTTAATAGATACTGAACCAGCCAAATGGTCGATGCTGAGTGATCAACTATACGCCCTCAAGGAAGCGGCTGATGCCCACAAGGCTGGCCCTCTCAATGTCAACGACTCACTGGTCCCTGAACTCATCACCAACACCCCCCTCTTGAAGATATTACTACGGAGGGCGGAGGATACCGGCGCGGCGACCGAAAATTTCAAGAAGCGAATTACGGCCTTGGAGGGCTACAGAAAGGGAACCATGGTCCGTCCCAAACGACTTACAAGACGGAGATTGGATAAAGGTAAAGGCAAAATAACGCAGCAAGAAGTGAATGCCGACATTCATGTTCATAAAATGAGCCAAATCACTCAGGTTCAGGATTTGTTTCCCAATTTAGGATCCGGCTTTGTGTCCAAATGTCTCGATGAATACGGAGAGGACGTGGAGCAGGTCGTTGCCAATTTACTAAGTGAGACTCTACCGCCTCACTTGGCTAATGCCGATCGCAGGGAGTCCTTGTACGTTACAGCAATCTACCTATTATCAAGTGGCGATTATTTGTTAATTCATCATCAGGTCATCACACCCTGAAGCAGGACACACAGAGCTCGCACCGCGACCTACTCCGCCTCAGGTTCCCACACGACACAATGTTTTTGACGACGACGACTTCGACCGCCTTGCCATGGACGTTTCCAAGGTTTCATTTGGAAAGAAACCAGGCAAGAACGCCGATGAAATGCTCAAAGATAAAGCAAATGCGCCTAACAAATCGGCCATTTTCTCTGCCCTCGCGGCATTCGATTCTGATGATGACGAGCGTGATGATACTTATGATGCTGACGATGTGGGTGGCACTGTTGACGCCTCCAACCAGGAAGCCGATGCGGCGAGCGACAGCAACGAGGAGGCATTATTCCGTGCGTACCAGATGGATTCAAAGCTGTTTGACCGTGATGCTGGCACAAGGCGAGGTAACCCGCGAGCCAAATTGCGGGAAGAGACTGGAATGACAGATGAAGCCATAGAGGGATGGGCCCTCATCTTAGTCAGGAACCCCCAGCAGAAGCGACGATTAGAGGCCAAGTATGCCTTTAGTGGACAACAAGCGCAATTAGAACGCACATCTTGGCGAGAATCTCCAGCTGGCTCAGGAGAAGAAGGAAGCGAACCTGACGGTGGATCATCTAGGGGTGGCAGAGGTGGTGGCCGTGGACGAGGGCGAGGCCGGGGAAGAGGCGGCAATGTTGCTGGGCCTACGGGCGAGAAGGAGACAGAAAGTGCTAGGAAGAACAAGGAAGCAAATAAGGGGTCTCGGGCGAACCACAATAGACGCGATGCTCGGGCAAAGAAGATGGCACGAGGAGGTTTCGCTGGCTGATCAATCACCAGTTCTCTGCTTCTTCCATTTACCTGGAGCCGGCGCCGGCGCTAGACAAGACGTTCTTCTCTTTCGAGCCTGAGTTGGCGCAGTGGCCTCTGGCCCATACAGATCACCAAGATCCAGCTCGGTAGCATAGGGGCTCTTCATATCGGCTATCATGGGAGTACCAGGATAACCACTGGGCCCTGCTGGAGAGACGATTCCGCTGAGAGAAGCCAGAGTCTCTTCGATGCCCGAATAGCGGTGGTAATCCTTTGGTGTAGCTAGCTCAGAGACAGCCTCAATAGAGGTCAGATCCTGGTCGCCATCACCTGTACCCATTATCATGCTTTGGAGCGACATCCGCGAGCTCCTCCTGCTACTATTGAGGTATACCCGTAGATCGAAGCACTGACGACATGATGGATGTAACGGAAAGCAGTTTGCTTCATCGCGATGCTGCGGAAGTTGAGGGCGTGACTGCTGCCCACACTTTTCCTGAATATCGTCGAAAATGTCTGCGATGGGAGTGAAGTAGGTGACACGTTGTCCGGGCCCCCAATAGTTATTGCGACCCCAGACTTGACCGATTAAACCATGCGTATTGGCGTCAACAACTCCAGCGCCACTGTCGCCGTTGACTCCAATGCCTCCACGTATCCAGGCATCCTCATCCTCTTGCGGCCATGGTTCCTCGATGAACCATTCTCTTGTAGCCTTCTGCGTCTGGTTCTCCACGCCAGAGACATACGCAGGAATCTCGCAAATCTGACCGCGCTGATAGCCAGATGTTCGACCGCTAGACAGAACATCTGCACCTGGCAAAATAGCGGTTGTAGTAGCTACGGTTGGTTCCTGAGTTGGAGGCTGGGTTTCTGAGGGGAATTTGCGAAGGATGTTTGCTTGTGAAGTACGAGCACCGATGAGAGCCCAGTCTGTTACGACAAGGGGCCTATCCATATCACACTCATCCCAATAAGGATCATGTGAAATTCTCGTCGTCTTGAGGTTCAGACCTGATGTGACTTCGAGCTTACCGAGCCTGAAGTTCGTTTCCTGGGCCATGGCATCATGCCCCTCGTCTATGCATCGCTTGCGATCTTGGGAAGATGGATGCTCAACCTCCACTTGAACGAGCTGTTGGTAGGCCTCCATGAAGGGATGAAAGTTGCCCAACCAGTAACTCCCACCACCAACGGTGATGCAAGGACCAAGGGTAGCAGTGCTATCTTCAAATACCCCATTTCCTGTGACACCGATACTGTCACCCATGCAAGGATCGCGGAAGAAGTAGGGGTTTCTCGCGGCACAAATATCGTCTCTGTGATTTTTGTCTAGGCCACGAGCCCAGGTAACGGTGCGATTGACCTCTCCTTGCGTAAAAGCAAACGTGACTAGCTTGGAAAAGTTGCTGGGAATAAGATCTTGAACGTGGCTGACAATGATAATCTTTCGAGCACGAGAAATGATTCTTGGAGCCATGATGCAAATTCGCTTCATCTGTGGGGATTTGCCTCGAGTGACAGTGACTACGTGACGGGGCCCAACCCAGAGAGGCAGATATTGGGAAAGAAAAGGAAGAATGGCGTGCTCAAAGACCAGAGGAAAGCTCGTTACCTCTATACACCGTGAGGCTCGCCCTCTGATAAGGTCTGTCGGACTTTCAGCACTTCGTGGAGTACCTTTGATGGTCAGTCTTTGAGCTATTAAGGTAAGGGAGACTTGATGACCTTACCAGTGTTCTTTCTAGCTTGCTTCTCGACGACGACCTGTAGGCGATCTTGACATTGATGTTTCGTCTTAACCACATCCGTAGACATATCTGTATCCTGATCTCTGTTCTTTCTTTTGAGGGACGCAAGAGTAGTGGTGGGCGTTTCACTTGACGATGACCTGTTGCCCGTCTTTATGATTGCATTCATCTTTGCTGGAAGCTCCCATTCCTTTGCATCATCTCTGCCATCCTCAGGGTGAGCCATGGCTATGTGAGACTGAAGAAGGCGAATACTCTGAAATGTCGTCTCTGTGCAGCCGGGTGATGGACAAATGACAAGATGTTTGACTTTGACATGGTAGATGAGTCCGTCCCTGGTGGAAAAGCTCGGCTGGTCACAGCCAGCCCAGTTACACAGATACGTGTGACAAGATTTGACGTGGGATTTGAGGTCCTTGTCAGACGAGAAAGCTCGCTGGCATTGAGGGCCAAGGCAGACGAAAGAAGGCGTCGAATTATCAGTGCTGTTAGTTCGCCCACCTCGACTTAGCGGACTCGGACCTCTTGAGCGACCTCTACCGTTACGGACGGTCATTGCATCACTGAATTCGGTCGGAACAGAGGAGAAAATGGAACCAGTAGAAGAAGTATCGGCACTGATGGTAGAAATTGTACTCATCTCTCGCATGTCGAGTTCACCAGCCCAATTGGCACAAGACTCCAGGCCCAGGTCCAACTTGGCTGGTGAAGCAGACCGATAGCAGCCAATGTTGAAATCGGAATGAATTGATTGAATTGGCTGCTGAAAAAAATCAAAAGACATGAGACCAGGGGAGACAGTAGTCTTTGACATCGACAGAGCAATTGAAGCCGGTGTCGTGAGAGGCGTCGATACTGCTTGGACGGTCCGATGCCGGACTGTGGGGCCGTGGTAATGGCCGGGACCGTTGAAGTCAACGGCCCCGCGGTGGTCCTTGCGCCTGAGGTTGTTCATTGTGTGAGTTGATTAACTCACAATGGCTTTGTGAGGCTGCAATTGAGGGAAAAAACGGACAAAGTAAATTTTGAGGGGTCGAACAAGGAATGGAGAAAATGCAAAACATTCGGAACTGGGGCCTTCCCTTGGTCATAGGGGACTGTGGTTGCCTGAAGAAAGCTGGCGGTCTCTGCAGAGGTGGGCGAACCACTCGGTCTCTGAAGGGGTGCCAAGTATAAGTGGTAAGGCTGATTGATGATGCAGGACAGACAGGGGGGGAGAGGGCCTAAATAACTTGGGTCCAGCTAAACTATATGGAAAGAAAGCAAAACATGAAAATGAGGACCAAATGGCCACGGGTATTGATGGCTGATATTGTCATAAACATGCTCGACTTGTTGATTGCTCTTCGTTCTCCTTTCTCTCTTCCCCTTCCACGCGAGGTACGTTAGGCGGACTGGGGATACCTGGGACTTTTTGGCCCCCAACGATGTTTGATCAACCCCTCACGATTTGGGAGAAGTCCGTAGTTTCATAGGTATTTGTTCTTGGTATAGTGCATGGGTTTTTTGTGCTTCATTATTAGGCGTCGTACCGTAAGAGTTGCTAATCTTCCTGTCATTCATTAAATTATCAAATAACTTGATTGCTTATCTCACAATATTCACCCCTTTGTTGTACCTAAAATGTACTTGCAATTGGAAGTTGCTTGAAGAAAGGAAATCAATCCTAGACTTATAGATGGCTTAACCAAGTATCCTTTCCGTAGTCAGGAAATGTAGTGTAGGGTCGTCATCATCATTCAATTTGAGCAGTAGATGCTTATGTAGGCGAGGCACCTACGTAGCAGTGGAGGTTCTGGGTTAAAGGTTCCTGAATTATTTCACATTGAACGAGGGAAGTATCCTTTATTAGATATGTTTACCTCACTTATGCAGTGCCCATTAAGATAAAGGCAACGGGCATTCGAGAGCCAGACCTGCCAATGTCTTATTCAACAAGTGCCTTGAATCTTGACCTCCCTCTATCGATCTTGCACTCTCTATTGATGGCTTTGTTGGAGTCATTATTACTGTATTTGGTGCCCTCTAAATTGAGCCGAACATTGATCAGTTGCGTTGATACTTCTTGTGAGCTCATTATGTTGCAACGACTCTCTGATGTTGAGACAAGAAAAAGTCAAGCTTTGCCGACTTATCAAGCAATATATACCAGAACGTTAGCTGGAACCATATGATCTATAATGAAAGCATATTCGACTTTGAATTCAAATGGTTCTGCCTTATATAGGCAGCTTCCCAAGAAACACTCTCACCCACCCAGTTACTCTCTGGCTCTTGGAATGATCCGCTTGGCACGGAACTCTTGGGACCAATTGTGTATCCTATGCCAGAGATCAGTATATGGCAGAGCTTTCTGCTCTTGGTGGCCAAACCCCTTACTACATTGTCTGATCCCACACATGGGGAAATCATCGGCTGCTAAGGGAAACCACTACAGTGGGCTCATCCACTGGACACGGCAAATCTCTATCATGCCTCAAGAGAACCATGTGAAGATACAGCAATTAGAGCATGCCGTTTTCGATCTCGCTGAGGATTCTGTCCTCGATAGGACTCGACCTTGGGAACCCGAAGGACTGGGGATAGTGTTCTTGGCGTAGGCTAATGGCATTGTTTCAGCACGAGCAGAATTATCAAGTGATAGAAGGAAAGCATTGTGCGGGAATCACAAAGAAGCTCAGTCAACGTTAGAATGGCCTCCTTACTATAATGCTTGACTTTGTGTTGCCCAAATCATTATGGGGTATGATAATTATGCTCTAAATCACTTCTACTCCTCCACTACTGTCTTCAGTATAGTGTAAGCAACTCCATTGTAACCATCATGACGCCGTTCATAAACCTTTGTGGAGTTCCTCGACCACATCACTGAGCATTCTTAGCCCGTAGAATTTGGCCACCCTCCTCATAACCCCGAGTTTCTTGCTCACGTCTTGTCGTGACACAATTTCCTTCCACTCTCCACTGCAGGTACAGTGTTCCATAAAGTCGTTCAGTCTCAGTGCACCGCACCGGGCACATTTGAGATCCTGCGTTGTCCATTCCACAATCCAGCTCTCTACTATGCCCAATAGTCGCTCTTCTATGGCGACACGATCGAACTCAGTGCCACAGAAGCCGCAGCACCAAGCAGCACCTTCGCCAAAGAGATCTTCGTCTCTGCATAGGTCTAGATCTCGCATCATAGTGCAGCTGTCACAGGATATCTGAGGAAGACGAAGGCTCTCTGATGGGTTTGTGAAGCTACCGTCTTTGGAGAACTCACGCACCTCGAACAAGGCTAGAAGCTCTTTCCGAAGTAATCGAGCTTCAAGTGTGATGTTTTTGTCAAGCGATAAAACTTGCATAAGTGACTTGACAAGCTCGAGGATAGGATTTCGAGGTTCAAGGTGTGACCCGGGAAGGACGGGGAATGTATAGTCCTGTGCAAGCTCTGGATGAAGTAGCTCACGCTTCTGCTTGTTGAGGAGGCCAATGATATCCTTCTTCAGAGGTTTCTCGAATGCCTTGCCTAATAAAATCTGACCTTCATGGTCCTCCAGGCTCTTGCTTGGTAGCTGTGTCAGACGTGGTGTACCATCTGGGTCGCCGTTATGAGGCCGCTTGAGTTGATGCATCAGCTGTATGAACTCAATTACCCAGTCCTGAAATGTGGACTGTAGTCGAACAGGCAAGAAGGTTGCCATCTGCCAGTGCATGACAGTTTCGAGGTTCTGTTCTTCAGCTTCGATAACCTCCTGGCAGGCCTTGCCTCCGTAGTTAAACTCATCGTACCATACAAGATAGTCCCAATACTCCTTAATCTCCAAGTCGATAAAGTGAAAGAGTGGCTTGCTCTTGATCGACTTAATGATATACTCGCTATACGCATATGCGTTGCCGACCTCGGCCTTTGTGGTTTGGAGGATAAGACGGTTGGCGTTAGCAAAAATGACCTGAGATCCCACTCGACGGAAGTCAGCCATGAGCTGCTGGAAGGCCTTTCGAGACATCATCTGCACATAGTAGTGCAGGGCTCGATCGTACATAAAAGAGTCGGGGTTCTCGACCCAGCGAACAAGATGTTGCACGAGAACATCGGCCATGGTACTTCCACGACAAGCTTCAGTCCACCAAGCCTTCACCATCTCACGCAGCACCTGAACGCCAGCATTGGCAAATGCGTTCTCGGATGCAAGTGCCTCTGAGTCGTCAGCAGCGGGATTGAACGAGACGGAGTCGGCACCCTCAAGCTCGTTGATAAGAGATGAGGTCAGGATAGTGTTGATAGCCAGATTTCTGACATCTATGTCGATACACACAGACGAGAAGGTTCCTGGATTGTTGACATTTGGCATTTTGACTGTGTCGAGAGGGCCCAGAAGATCGTCCTTTTCATATCCAGCATGATCAGGACGAGCATCGGGAGACCACCAAAGCACGACTCCATTGGCTTGAAGGCGCCGGGCATAGGCAACATCGATCAAGAATCGGGGATCGTCTCGTTCCAAATTACACAGAGGCACATCACCGTAACGAGCCAAAGCGGTAAGGTGTAGAATCCAGGATCCAAGACCAAGATAATGGCCAACAAGTCGCTTGGCGATGACAGATTGCCACCCAAGAGGAGGTAGAGAGCTATCTCCTACATCGTATTTCAAGGGGAGGACTGGGAATTCTCCCAAGATAGGGACATCATGGATGAGCAGTTTACGCTGAGACGACTGGATAACCATCATCTGTGGTCGTGGCTCGTCCTTGCGCAGCTTCTTGACAACATCACCTATCTCCAAGTGAGCCTTGCGTCGGGTTGTCACTTGGGTGATCTTGATGTGGAGTTTCTCCTGGTAGGTAAAACAATCCTGCCAGTTGGTACCAGCTGCCTCCGCATGCCGTCTAGCGAGCATCTCTGAATACATTTTGGAGATATTGGGAAGATCTTGACCGGAGTCCTTGTTCTTCTGCAGAATAACGACGTGAGCTTGGTCATTAGTGGTAGAGAAGATACCGAAAATCTGTCGTTCTCCAGTTGTAATGTGAGAAACGTAAATGTAAGCCAGTGGCGACGTCTCGAGATACGTTCGTGTCTTGGCTGGTCGCTTCAGACCAGCCAGATCAAAGCCTTGTTCAAGACCCTTTCCCAGCACAGCATGTTGTGTTGCGTCGATGGTACACTGATTTCCGAGACGCAAGACAGCTCTCATGTGCAGGGGTACTTGCTTCTCATACACACCCTCAACACTAGGATGGTTGAAGAGTAAGGAGAACTTCTCGCTCTCGTTGAAGTAAATATCTTCCGATACAGTTAACTTAAAGAGATGGCTTGATGGATGGCCATTGGGAAGAGTGTAATTGACCTGTTCGACTTCACAGCCTTCCACTTCAACATCGGGAAGATCCTTACTCTTGAGGTTGAGGAAGACTTGCCGAGGAACATTGACCTTAAGCGTGTGGATCTTGGCATCGATAAGGACATATGCCATGACAATACCAGGAGTCTCAGTCGCTTTAAGGTGCAAGACCTGCCAGTTACTCATGTAAGTAGTGTGCGCCTGTTTCATGAATGTTTGCTGAAGATTGTTGACTGCACCGCCTCTTCGGTCACCAAACAATTGCCGTCGACGGATTCTGGCTTGCTTCTGTAACTTCCACTTCTTCTTCTGGTACATCAAGAATGCCTCATAGTTCTCCGAAGCACTTGGCATAACTTCAGGAAGTGCAGACATGGGATCGGAGTTCTCTGCTGGCTCAGGAGACTTGCGCTTCTGAACCGTCGTTGCGGCCTGCGAGGATGCAATGACTGCGTTGACTTGTTTGGGCTTCAAAAGCTTGCTACCGAAATCTTCTACATCATCCAGTCGAGAACCACTAATGTTGGTGATGTCTTCCAGTGGACTCTTTTTGAAGAGATCAGTGAGCTTCTTCTGCTTCAGTTTGTCGTCCTTGATGTTGATCCTCCTTTGAAGCCAGTCAGGATGTGGCACTCGAGGTACAGGGTTGCGGACCTTTTGGAGAGCGGCAGGAATGGTGATCAGCTTCTGGATAACAGAGCCCAATCGCTCCAGGTAATAATCCCAGTCAAGGAGTGCACGAGGATCAGTGTCAGTGGGCTCCTCCTTTAGCCACTTCCTCAGATATGTACGCTTCACAGATTCCTCCGCAGAGAAGATGGCCACCGGAACAGCTCGTTCTGTAACGGGTGCATTTTTGGGTCGAGCACAGATGATGAACTTACAGTTCAGTCCCTTGTCCTTTACCATCTGCTCACCCAAGAAATCTGCTAGACGCTTGGCAGTTGTGATACTGGTTGACTTCTGGTTTCCGTACTCCTCTAGTGTTTTGGACATGCTTCGATTCTCAGAAATGAGTTCCATCAACTCCTCGTCTGCCAATGTTGTGCCCTTGCTGTGCAGAACATCTAGCCAACGGTTGGCAACCTTAGCAACGGCTCCATAACATTCGGCCAGTGTTTCGCCTTCGAGGAAAAATTTGAAAATTTGTTGCTGGAAGATTTTGATGAGCTTGAGCTCACCACGACGTTTCACCTCGAAACCTTTCAACTCAGCAAGACTGCCGTCATCGTTGAAGACAGCGTAACGCTTCTTCAAGTTTTTGTCTTCTTCTTTCGATGTGGGCAGAACCATAGCTTTGTATGGACCATCGACTTCGAAAAAAATGGAGTTGTCGCTGTGTGTTTCGTACTTGAAGGTCTTCTTATCAACGAGTGTCTGGTATTGATGGTTGGTGAATTTTGCATGAACGTGGTGGTTAAGCATAACACAGGGATATGAGATGTTGAGTTTCTTGCCACCCTTGAGTTTGAAGGAGAAGTTCTCGGGGAAGGTTGCGGGAAGCATGCACCAGATGCCGTCGGTATCCAATTCCAGAGGTCGTCCTAGCCGTTCGACCAGTTGTCGAGCCATTTGAATAATGTGAGCACCCGTCAAACAAGTGACGCCAGCCATTTCGAGTGAGTACCAACGAGATCCCTTTCTCATCACATAGCCGTAGAATGAGTTTAAAATAACTTTGTGCGCCAATTGCAGCGAGTCGTAGAGAATAATCATCTTCTTGGCAGCATCAACCTCGCTCTGGGCAGCACCAGCAGACTGTAAGGATGACGTCTTTCCCTTCCAAACCTTGGCTTTGCCCTTGTAGTCATATCGACGATCACGGAAGTCTCGTACGGTGTTGATATAAAAGGGGTTTTCTCTTTGGCAGATGATTGCCTCTCGCACAATAGTTGTTGAATCATGGATTTTGTGGTAGACCTTCTGAGAATATAGCTGAAGGCGTTTTCGTACAAGATTGGCTTGCTCATCGGCACTGAGTTCCTGGAAGGTTCTCATAGGAGAACTGGGATATTTACCAGGGAACTTCTCGTTCTGAAGTGCATTTTTAATCATATTATACTCATCTCGTTTTGGGGGCAAGTATTCTCCTCGCCAAGCCCACGGTAACCTTCTATCGCATGTCTTTCCAGGTCGATTGAAGTCGCAGGCAGCGCAGTCGGACTCTTGAATCATAGAGTCAGGCTGCAATCGGTTGGTTGTCATGATGTTGGGGTACATCGATGCGACATCCAGATGGTAAATCAGGGGCTTTTCGTTACGGTTCGGCGCTTCTTTGAGCTTGTTCAACCTCTCGACGATCTGAGCCTTTACTTCTTCGTAGTTCTCTACATCATCAAAGTTCTTCTTCTCCTCAACTGTGATTACGAATTTGAGGGCAGCATCTAAATCGCCGAGGAGCTCGTCAATAGCTCCAGGGTCCACAGCAAAATCAACCGGGATATCAGCTCGAAAGACTCCTGCTTCGATACTTTCAACGTGGCCACCGACATAGGTCTCTGAATCGAGGAGATGTCCGTCCCAGAAGGCCTCCTTTGGTGTGATATACTTATTCGGAAGTACAATTTCTCGTTGAAATGCTTGTACCATCAGGAGCATCTCGCAGAGTGTACCAGTTCCCTTTCTCAATACTTCATCACCGCTCAAAGGTAGAATCGTGCAAAGTGAGAAAATGAAAGGGTGCACATATTTCATGTACAGGTAATATGTTGCAACGGCATCGGAGACCGAGTATTCAGCGAGTGTTTGTGGTCGCTCAGTCGCATATGGTGTCATCAATTCAGGATCCAGCTCGTCTGGGTCGTATCCGAGCTTCGCGACAGTGACGGCTTTCAGACCGCGAGAACCTTGAGGAAGATACGAATCTCGGTTAACCCAATGGAAGCAGTCCATGTGCACACTGTAGTTACACTTGTACTGATCCTCGTTGTCCTTCTTCCATCCAATCTCTTGATACATATCAATTCCATTGATGCTAGCCCGTGCTTCCACAAAGGGCCAATCAAAAAAGTCACCGTTGTAAGTCGCAATGACGGTAGGTCGTGCCTCCTTGATGTGGAGGAAGAATCTCTCGATGACGGCCTTTTCATCGGGTTCGTTAAAAATCATAAAGGGGCCCGGGTATTCTGGTTTGGGTGTGTAGTCGAAGTCGCCAATGTCTTCTGAAAGGATTTGTCGGTTGGTAATTAAGAACCCTTGGCCATCGATCATGTAAGAAATCATGATAATCTGATCGGTGGCAGCATCAGGGAATTTGAGAGGCAGCTTTGATGTTTCAATATCATAAGCCATTACTACAGGTTCAGCCGGCAACGACCTCTCTTCGTTTGGGCAAATTTTGGTGACACCATGTTTGGCTTCAACAAAGTACCACGTTCCGGCTCGTATATCTGGGTGTCCATGTCAGTAGGTGATTAGAAAGGGTTTAAGGCAGAATGGAGGACTGTATAGAAGCAATAATCAGGGCAATGGTGAATAGTAGTCTCATGGCCTTTGAGGGCTCTGAAGTAGCAAATACTTGGTTGCAAACATCATGTAAAGCTTGTAGAGAGTGTGGGCAAGGGTTGATCATACCTAAATCTATCATTACTCGTACATGGTATGGTACATCATACTCTCTTATATCGACGATAAAGTCGCTCGCATCGGAAAGGGCAGTATTCATATTTCGGTCGTCATCTCGTGAATCATCAAAAAGGTCGAAGTCGCCATTTGAGCTGTCTCGTGTTAGCTCGATCCTGCCAGAGATCAGTTGAGCACTTACGTTGCCACCTCGGCGTAGGCATCCATAGCATTCATATTCTTCTTGTTCTTTTCCGCGATAGGCATGATATCTTTTCTCGCAGCCATGAGGTCATTGACATTGGCAAATCTCAACTCCAGAAATGTCCTTCGGTAGCCGAGCAAGTGGTTGGGCATATTGAGATCGTCTTTCTCGACTCTTCGAATCGACTTGACAACGCCACCTCCGGCAACTCTCTTGACCCATTCCTCAACCTCAGACTCTCGTCCTTTCTTGACAGCGATCAAGAAGTATGGGTCAAATTCCACAGTAGCTTTGAAGGTCGAGCCGTCTTCTTCGATAAAATAGCAGTCGACAGCGGCTCGACCACCCGGTATCCGTTCGTCCTCGACAGATGTGGGTTGGATGTTGACTAGCCAGCCTTCTCTCTTCTTTCCGCTCTCATAACGCGCAAAGCCCATGTTCTCGTCAATGCTGTGTGCTAGCCGTGTTCGTTCCCATTTCTCGTCTGCTGATGTGGCCTCGTTCCTGGATGAGGCCGCGAATGTGCGTGTTCGGTTGCCATGGTAGGCAACTTTGCCTCCTCGGCGGAAGCCCTTCTGAGGGCGACGAAGACTTGTGTTGGGCATTGAGTGTTCTGGGGGTCTCCCCAAAAGGAGTGTGGTTTAACAAGCAGTTGACGATGTCAGGGAACAGAGATTCGACATGGAGAGAGGGGAATTGTATAAGAGCAGTTAATATAACACAGAAGAAGAAAAGAATCGAGAGGAAAAAGTTGTTTGCAAAGTCAACACTGAGCGGAGCGTATCGGAACAAAGTAAATGAAGGGAGTCCCTAAAGCCTGGACCGAGATTGGATAAATTGGAAGCGTGAGACGCGTTTAGACGCGCCCTCGCGACGCGATTGCACTCCACTTTACTTTAATGGACTTTCGACAGAGCAACGAGGCGTGCACGGGCCATCAAGACTCCCGATGCAAGCCTTGCTTGTCAAGCGTCATCGGTCTTATCCCACGTGCTTCTAAAGAAAGTCGAGATTTGGCTGTACGATCTTGTTCATGACACCAGTTGCGTCGCAATTATAGCCAGGAATGGCTTCAAATCCACAGGATGGGCAACCGATGCCCGGCGATAAGACTCTGCATGTCTGGTCGAAACCCATAGAGCAAAACGAAGCTACCACAATCAACGGCGAACATGGAACGACACCGACGAATAATAGGCCAACTATATCAGAGGCCGTTTCTATGATCAAGAAGGATGATTTTGCCAATGTTGCAAATACTCCTTGTGCTCGACAGGGCTTCATCACAGGAATAGCATCTGGTGCCGGTATTGGAGGATTGAGGTTTGTCCTCAAAGGTGAGTGGACAATGTTGAACTTTTAGTTTAAGGCATGGTCTAAAAGGAGTGAAGGGAACCCCGGTAGCGCTGCAAACTGGGCTGTTGGAATGTTTGTTCTTGGAAGCATGGCATCATACGAATGGTGCCAGTACCTACGCCGCGAGGAACGTCGACAAATGAAACGACACATTGAGGTGGTGTCAGAGAATAGGAGAGAGCAAGCAAGAAAGATCCAAGAGGCAAGGCGTGAGCACGACAAACTGGAGGCTGAAAAGAAGGCTGCAGTAAAGCCATGGTATAAGGTCTGGTGACCATCAGGTTGAGCACATGGCCTCTCCTATGTACTATTATTTGTGTAAGGGTGTATATCTTATGGTTTGGATATAGCTTGATAAAATCCCAAGCGCAAAAAGACAAACCTAGACGAAAAGAGTAAGTATAAAGAAATGCTTCCGTGAATTGAGCACCGAATCGTAGTGGTGTTGTATGATCTTTGAAGACCAGGGTATAAAGCGGCTTGATTAGGCCTTGGATGTATTTGCCAACGATCCCTTCAATTTTCACCAACCATGAATCCCCATGAAAGAACCATCAAATTTCTTCGTGATTGATACGCCGCTTCCTCCAAATCGCTAGAATAAAGAAACGCCAAAGTAATCGCCAAAAAAAATCTATAGCCGCAGCCAGCGTCCTTATAAGCGTTGGCGCCAAATAATAACGTTATCCTGTAGTAATCGCAACACTCGAAGCATCCGTGTCCGTGAATCTGACCTTTCGCGGCGGTGACTGCTCCTCTGATCGTCCGAACTTGACTCCCGAACCACGACCACGTCGCTGACTGCGTCGTGCTCGTGCCTCACTCTCTTCTCGTTTGCGATACTCTGCCATCTGCTGTCTCCGTCTCATGGCGCGTGCATGCGCAAGAGCTGGTGTGGGTTTGAATCCGATACCGTTGATTCCAATACCGTCGTCATCCTCATCATCAGGGTCGTATATGGTGATCTCATCTTCATGCCACGTCAGCGCAGCTCTGACAGGGTCAACGATCTGGACCTCTTCTTCGTCTGGGTCCTCAAAGGGCCGCCGAGAAGGGCGCTTCATGCGGAGTGGCGGCGAGCCTGTTCTCTTCTTGACTCTCGATTTTGACTCGGAGAGCCGGTTGATAGACGGGTATGCATAATGCAGGCTCCCGTGGTTTTGCTTTTGTTGCCAAGGTTCTTCGTGCACACGACCTTCGAAAGGTTGCAGCGGTTCTTTTGATGGTAGGACAGACTTTCCGTCAAGATCGACCACTTCTTGGACAGTTGGAGCTGCTTCTACCTCGCTCATAATCTCATCGGGTTTCTGTCGCTTCCTCATCGACTTGTCCTCATCCATGAGATTATCACTGTCTTCGTTGCTGACTGTTGCCCCGCCCCCACTTCCCAGTGCAAGACCACGGAACCTGTGGGCAAGGACCCTTGATCGTGAGCTATCGCTGCCATCTTCAGTGTCTGCTTGAGTTGTGACTGAAGAAGGGTGAGAGGAAGACGATAAAGGGTCATGCACAAAAGTGAATTGTATAGGAGATGCCCAGGTTTCTTCTCCACGCTTGCGTTTCGGGGTGCTAGAGATGTTTGCTGACGCGGTGGCCATGGCCATAATTCATTGTTTGACAATTCAGGACCAGGACGAGTCAAGCCGAGTCCAGAGCTGAGTAGGAATTATCGAAAACAAAGTCGATAGCTCGTTCTAGTTGTTGATGATGCCTTGTCGAGGTACGTTGAAGGGAGGATCAGTTAGTAGGTAGTTTGAGCTGAGTCGATGGCACCTGAACTATTGGTTTTGGTTGCGCAAGCACCACTTGCTACTTGTGACCTTCTGCCAGTACCTGACTTGCTTCACTGCCTTAATAAACTGGAAAAGGGAAGCGCGAGTGGCAGTGTGACTTGAGAGTATATTCCAATTGGGCCTTTTATTTTGTGTTCCAATAATGAGAATAATAAGAACAGTATTGGATTACTATACTGCATGACTACAAATACAAAGCCAACTAGGTAGGTATCAGGTTCGTAAGAGCCTCGTGATTAACCCGCAAATTCAGCGTCACATTCGGACTTTCGGGTCACGTTGGATCTGGTTGGACCAGCATCATGTCGTAGATCTGCCGCTGATCGCCAAGTCTCGGATGTCTAGGGCATAATAATAGATACCTAGCATGGCCAATTTGAATGGTAATAAAATATGAATATGTACAGTTGTTTTTATGGAAATTTGTAATATGTAAAGACCCTCTGACGCCAAAGCTATCTGATGCCGGATGCGGCATCGTTTTATAGCCCCTCCAATCCCATACCCCAACGCCATTGTTTCCCATGTCAAACCACCCCAACACCACTAATGCCAGATCTCAGACCACTGTGCCATTCCGTGGTGGCTTTCTTGTATAAAATCTGGCAATGCCGTATTTTTCCCGCTGGTTTTCTTACCCTTCCCTAAGCCTGGTGTGAAAATGAAATGTCCTAGAAGGAATGCTCGCCATGGAAATTCGTGACGAAGATCGAGTCATGACCAAACCCGTTGGTCTGCTGATAATTAAGCATGACATGTTGAGTTCTATACATTGTGGATGGCCTATATCATGTTAGATAACATAACAAATACAGGCTTTGGTATCCTCATTACTTACGCGAAGCATCTTTGCCCTGGCGCCAACGGTATCAATGCCCAGCTGCTGCAAATCCTCGTCTTCTAGACGTGAAACTTGAGCTGGAGACATTCCTGACAAGCATCTTTCATACTTGTGCAACCTCAAAGCTCGAAGCCATTTGGCAGCCCATCGAGGATCTTGAGAGTTATGCGGGAATATTGGCATGATCCATTTCGGCTTTACGGGAGGCTGGATGATGAGTTTCTCTTGTTGCCTCCATAATTCTCGCTTGCGGTCTTTGAGTGCCTGGATCAATGGTTCAATCTCTCGCAGACTTGGTAGTTCTGCGATCGAGTGGAGGGCAGATGATCGTTCACTATCGTCCAATACTGAAAACCAGGTTCTGATTATTCCCATCTCGTCTCCAATCTTGCCGGTATCTCTTCCTGGGGAAGACATATGATGGTGGAATGAAAGTGAAGCAGAACTTGAAGTTGGTGAGCCTGAGTATGAACTCGATAGACTGGAAGAATATGAAGACATGATGCTGAAGGCCTGCTGTGTATGCTGTGTAGTCTGTCAACGACGTTAAATATCAAATATAATAAGAAGAAGATCAAAGTAATATCGGAGGATATTCTGCCTTCAAATATTGCAGTTAACTGTAGAGCGCTGACGAGGCTCTCGACAGTCTTGTATGTGGTGGATTGATCTGTGGCGTGGTCGATCTGACGGCGACCGGGGCCGCTTGGAAATAAATCACCTCAGGTCATAAGTTGATTGGAGCTGGATTGAGCACGTATTTATTAAGGAAGTCTCCCAGATGCCAAAAAGCCATCATTCTCGTCTCAGGCCGCCCTGGCTCTTCCAACCAACGTTCGATCCCCTAGGTAATCACAGATCCATTATGGGCCTTCCTGGTACGGCCCCTCGGTGATTTTGACCAAGTCGCTCATGATAGTGGCAAGATATTGACAGAGATAAAGACCATACTTCTCTATTCTTCCATTTGAGTATCATATGGTGAATGTCTATGGATTTAGGGTGGTGAGAGAGATATGAGCAAGTTATTTTTCCTGTTTGCTCCACTACTGCCCATACATCAAATGCCGGCTGAGGCCTCAGATCGTGACCCCTGTCGAGTACTACTTCACAAAGCTTTAGTATTGGTCTCGAACTACTTGTAACTACCTTAGTTGGGCAAAGCACAGCTACTTGAAACATGGTGCTTTGACATAATTATCAGACAGTAGTCTTGTAAGTGGACAGCATGAGCAACGAGCCATTGGTAACTGTCTCAATCAAGTTATGTAGGTCAACCTTGATGGCCAGATGCTTTGGGGCAGTCAACAGCAAACGTCCTGGAGAGTAGGCTATGTGTTACCCCACCTCGAGGCAGGGTTCCGGAAACCTTCAGACCTTAAATCGGGATAAGAAAGTAAGCAAGGTAAAGATTATGGTAAACTTGTCGGGAGATACTATAAAATATTACCGTATTATCCGAGTCTTTCCATCATTTCTTAGGACACATGTTTAAAGTTTTATATCACCTACTAGCTACACAGGATCCATGCCGTGCTACCCTATATCCTCACACCTGGAGATGGTCGGAACAACCAGTATGCATTCCTCGAGCAAGGTCGTAGTATAGATAAATTCTCGAGACGGGTTCTTTGAGTTTTAGTTGGGTATAAATATTTCCTTTGCCGCTGTTGAAATAGACCTGTGATACTATAAATAAGTGATCAAGGTCACTCGCAAATAGTGTAATGGGTGCACAGCGGTACACCAACAACTCAAAATTGTGATACCGTTCCCTTACCACAGACTACTTTAGTCAGTAGGAAGCCTCTACAAGATGTTCACAACTAATGCTTTCCCAAGGATATCAAGATCCTCGCTGTGGGTCTCTACTGGCCGAGGTAATTTGATCTCAAAAAGGGTTTTACGGGTATCACTAGTAAAAAGACTTGTCATGTCAAACCTCCATTGTATATATCAGCTCTGGTCCATACATTCGACACATATTCAGCCGCAGCAAACAGTTGTCTCCTCAATCCCCTTGGCCTTATCATCAGGGGCTGTCAGATCTTCGACATTGATCCTTACAACGAGCCAGTCACAAAAGAACTTGCCGAGGCCAGCACCAATAAAGATGCTAATGATGACATAGCCGTTGAAGTACATGGCCAAGAGCATGATGATGTAGGCTCCCGCAAAAGTAGCAGCGTGGATGAATGCGCGGATGAATTGCTGCAGAGGTGAGGCTCGATATGTAAGTGTTTGACTTGTGGGAACGACAGCTCCTGTGCAACCCGCGGCGGCGAGAGCGACACTGTGAGTGGTGGCTTGCCGCTGGAAGCCACGCTGAAGAAGGGCATCGTATTCCTTGCCCATGCGCCGGAAGAACTCGACGAGAATAACGAGGAGGATAACGCCAATACAGGTAGCAGCCATCATGCCCTGGTTCTTGATTTGCCATGATGAGGCCAGGAAGCACGCATCGATTGTGTTCCAATTCCACAACATCTGAGGTTATTAGTCAACGAAAACTTGGTATCTCTTGGCAGTAAATCTTACGTCGACCTTACAGGCAGCACCGCTACCGCCCATTCCTCCGTGATCCATGATGAGTTGTTAGGTTGGTGTTTTCACTCGAGTTGAACAGTGATGCTTGGATGATGTAATCGATAATGGACAGTGAATCTGACTTGAACTGAACCAAGTCTGTATTATTTTGAACCAGAAAGTGGCTGGCTGGGGAGATAAGTATCCGTAAGGCGAATGAATATCAAGGAGTTGAGGTTCCACTGAGAAAGATTGAGCTGTTTCCAAGACTCGTATGGAGTAAGACTGCCGGAGAATTAAGAAGCGACATGCAAGAGCAGAAATAGGGTAAAGAATTAAGGTTATGCCGAAGGATGAGGGAGATATTAATAACGCGAGATTCTTCCATCACTGATTCGATCCCTGATAATACTTTAAACCCAAATCTAGGGCTGGAAAGCTTCATGTTCCGTCCACATCCCAAGGTTTGCCGTGCTTCGGTGGATTCCCCTGGTGGAGACACTATGGAGTAAGATCCCTGCAAAACGTGCTCATTCCTGCTCAACTCCTCTTGAATAGTCTCTCGCTTGCCTCAAGTTCGTATGTTTCTTTCTATCTCAGGGTATCATTTCTTCATCAGGGTCGTTCCGGCCAATCTCCAAGAGGGCGTTTTGAGCAAGTAATCAGGAAACGATTCCCCGATATGGCCTGGCTCCCGACGCCAAGTAGACCTTATTATCACTTCGTACCCGATTATCTCGTAGACCTCAAACATGCTCATACTAGGTCGTCAAGACCGTGACGGCGGTTGGTTCTTCAGTGGAGACTCGACCGATGGGTCGATTCTTATTTGTATCTAATGGTATCGCGTCTTTTATCATTCTACTCCAATCCTGATACTCAACAGTCATCTCTTCTCATGGTTCGTGATATATGAGATAGCTACAGATCGCCCATCCGTTGATCTGTTGTCCCATCATTCTATGAAAAAATCAACTGCCTCTTGACATATTTTTGCCCCTTTCATAGAACAGCAGGACCACAACGCCCTTCACGATGGTGTCTCTCAACCAGCTGGATGCTCGCCACATCCAAAACATGAGCGAAGCCAAAACCCTGGAACCTCACTGGGGATATGCTGATCGCGCCCTCCCTTGCACAAACGATAAGGGATCTTGCGAGTATCTCGACCTGGTCTATTATGCCCACGATCTAGGCATGCTCTACTCCGGAATCCTTTGGGCTACTATTCTCGCTGTCTTCTTCCTTTGGGCTATTCTGCGACATGTCGGCAAACCCTCATCTCCGGCTATCACTCTTGGAGCAAACCCAAAAGCCGGTCTCGCCAAGGTCCGCAGCAGTCTCAGCTCGTTTTCACGGCAATATCTCCTCCCAGATGCCTGCCGGGCGATCTTTGGCCGTACCACTCGTTTTCAAGTTGCTGTTATGCTGTCCCTCGTGGGATATCTCACTGTATGGAGCTTTGTCGGTATGACATATCAGAAATGGGTCACTCCCGTCAAAGACATGCCCGGAGTCTACAACACTCGCACTACTCTCGGTCCTTGGTCTGACCGAGTCGGTATTCTCGCGTATGCCCTGACTCCTCTGTCTGTCCTCTTGGCTAGCAGAGAATCTGTCCTTTCTCTCATCACAGGAGTACCCTACCAGAGCTTCATCTTCCTCCACCGCTGGCTGGGCTATATCATCTTCCTTCAGGGTTCCCTTCACACCATTGCCTGGTCTATTGTTGAGGTCCGTCTATACCAGCCTCAACCTAAGGTGGCTGCCGAGTGGATTGTCCAGGAATACATGATCTGGGGTGTCGTTGCCATGATTCTGCTTCTTCTCATGTTCATCGGAAGTACTCCTTGGGGAATTCGCGCAACAGGATACGAGTTCTTCCGCAAGTCTCACTACGTCCTCGCCATGGTTTATATTGGTGCCTGCTGGGGTCATTGGAAGCAGCTCAAGTGCTTTCTGCTTCCATCACTCCTGTTCTGGTTCGCTGACCGTGGATTGCGGCTGCTTCGTACCGCTTATCTGCATTATCACCACCTCCCCTCGGGTAAGATGGGGTTTCAAGCTGCCCAAGCTGTTATCACTAGGTTCCCTAACGCTGAACATGGAGACATCCTTCGATTTGACCTTGAAAACGACCAGGACCCCTGGAAGATCGGACAGCACTATTTCCTCTGTTTCACTGAGAGCAGTATCTGGCAATCACACCCCTTCACTCCGCTAAATGCTCCTGTCGTTGAGAAGGGTGTCGTGAAGCACTCGTACATCATGCGCGCTAAGGGCGGCGAAACTAAGAAAATGGCTGAGCTGGCTGCCAAGAAGCTCACGACCTCTGAGAAAGCCACTACTTCTGTCATTCTCACTGGCGCCTATGGTGAGACCACAATGGACCATGCTGCACCTGACACCAATATTGTCTGTGTTGCTGGTGGCACTGGCATCGCTTATGTACTCCCTGTCCTCCTTAACCTCGCACGATCACCCATTTCCCGAGACCGCAAGGTTGAGCTCATCTGGGCCATCCGCCATGCCGCTGATACTGAATGGGTTCAGGAGGAGATGGACCTCCTGCAGCAGGCCCGAAAGGCTCTCAATCTCAAGATCCGCGTATACGCTACACGAGACTCCAGCAGCAGTTCCAAGCTGCAGGTCAGTGACGAGAAAGATGTCACAGATGCTACCAGACAAATCGGTTCATCATCATCGTCAGACGTGATAGAAGAAGGCTGTGCGTGCGGAAACGATGTCCCTGTTGCTAAAATCGGAAACGGTATTGTCGATGAGGACCGACACCCTAACCTACCCAAGCTCATCAGCGACTTTGTGAGTAACACGATTACTGGTCCCACGACAGTCTTTGCCAGTGGCCCCGGCGGAATGATCAGTGATCTTCGCACGATTGTGGCTGGGTGCAACTCGGGCAATAAGGTCTGGAGTGGCAATGAGCGATTTGATGTTAAGCTGGTTTGTGACGATCGTTTGGAATGGTAGGGCATCCGCGCAAGACCAGGAATGAACCATTGTTCGGAATTGTGTGATTTGCAACTTTGAGATACCACTCTAGCGACTTTGCATTTAGATGGCGTTTTCGGGGCTACAAAAGGGTTGATTGGATGGTTTATGTATACAGCATGATACTCAGAGATTTGATCTGTGCCTCATAGAACAACCTCTTGTGGCATTTGGACATGATTTCGTTCTCTGAACACATGTGAACGATTACACCATGTCGTGGAACCCATGGGCCTGAGCCTACCGTGGTCATGCTTAGGCTTCACAAGCAGCCTTTAGCTCCTCCACAACATTACAATTACACCTGTTAAAACGTGGATGGGCACATGTGAATACTTTTAGTATACAGGCGATTGGGTACAACGCATAGTTTAAGCCTCATAGAATATGCAGTGATAGTACTGCGCAAACAACGGACTACTCTACCAAATTATCGCTTACAACCGCACCAGTCACTACGTGATGTTGATGGAGCACCCATGACGCACCCCGCACTCAAGTCACCACACACTCGGTCAAGCTGGCCCGAATACCGCCCGTCATCATGTTGTGGGATTCTGGTTGTTCCGTATTTGCCATGAAAAGACCCCGCGGCTCATGACCCCATTTCCATTGGCAGTTTAGCCTGAAGTGTCATGATGGGTCCTACAGCTATCCCATTTATCCCTATATGGAGTCTGCTGCTGAGTGCAGACAAAACCTACGAAACAGATAAACCTGGCCGCATCTCAATCCAGTGCACCATCATATTGTTGTTTAGTTGTTCTTTCCGTTCTATGCTAGGTTTGCTGGTGTGATATAAATACCCCTCAACCCTCATATACCCATTCTCAGCGATACTCGTATTCAAACACATACCAAACGTTTAGTGAGATCATCCATCATGGCTGACGCTCCTATTTCTTTCCTGCCCCTTGGCGCCATCATCCAGTCCCTTGTCGTCAACGGCATCAACGTCGTCCAGGGCTTTCCCACGCAAGAGGACTATGAGAAGCACAACTCCCCTTACTTTGGCGTGACTGTTGGTCGTGTCGCCAACCGAATTAAGGGTGCTCGAATTGACAGCCTCAATGGTAAGGAAGTTACTCTCGCCGCCAATGACGGACAGAACCACCTTCATGGCGGTAAGATTGGCTGGAGCAGCCGCGTCTGGGACGGCCCCAAGCCCGTTGGAACTCGCCAAATTCCAGGCGTAGAGGGACTCGAGGGTGGGGAGAGTGTTGCCTTTGCACTTACCAGTGAGGATGGTGACGAGGGATACCCTGGCACCGTCGAAGTCACTGTTACCTACACAACTGGTACACAAAACGTCAATGGCAAGGAAGTCATCATTCTTGCCATGGAATACGAGGCAAAGCTTGTTGGTGGCGCTGATGAGACCGTCATCAACATGACCAACCACTCCTATTTCAACCCCAGCGGAAAGGAGACTATTGCTGGTACAGATATCACCCTGCCTACAGCCAACTACCTGGCTGTTGGTAGCGATCTCATCCCCACAGGCAAGATTGAGCCTTTCCCCGGTGTTACCGCCAACAAGACCTTCACACTGGGCCCCCAGGAGCCTAATATCGATCATTGCTTCGTCTTAAACACAGACCCATCCTCTGTGCCCCTAGACACCCGCAACCAGCCCCTCAACCTCAATGTCAAGGCCCACCACTCCGGCTCCGGCGTGAACCTGGAGGTTTACAGCACTGAGCCCACCTTCCAGATCTACACTGGCGCCGGCATTAATGTGCCTGCCGTCAACGGTTTGCCTGCTCGTGGTGCTCGTGCCGGTTTCTGCTGTGAGCCTGCTCGCTATGTTAACGCTGCCAATGTACCGGAGTGGAAGAACCAGGTCTTGCTCAAGAAGGGTGACACATACGGTGCCAGAACCGTATACAAGGCGTGGGCCGATTGAATTGGATCACGAAGATGAAAAGAATATCTGCTAAATAGAGGCTGTTTTGAACGCCTAACTACCGTAAGACAATCGGAAAGAAAAACCAGGTCCTGCTCCCAGACACCGTTTTGTACAAAGTTGCTCGTGATGCATCCTGATGTCCCTAAATTACATGCTGTCAAGATAGACAGGTGAATCATATGCATAGAATACCCGTAGGCCTTAATCGGAATCACTGTCATCATCGCCCAGGAACGCCAAATCCGCCCTTGCTCTCTTGCGTCTCGCAGCATACGTTTCCTCTTCGTCCTCTTCATCATCATTATGCTCGTCACCGTCGTTTTCTTCGGCATCACTACCGCCGCTTTCAACGACCTTGGCACTCTTGCTCTTGCTGCGACTTGCACGACCACGGCCCTCTACACCCCAGAGAGCACTCATCTCCTGCGCAGATTCAACCTCGGCCAGAAGTTCTCTCCTCTCTTTGATTTCGCGCGCCTTCGCTTCTGAGAAGCGGCCGTCCATTCCGATATCAGTGAGCATCTTCCTAAGGTGTCGAATCTTTGCTTTAGTATCATCGCCGTATTTCTTCAGCTCGTTGTGCCAAAGCTTTCTAACACCACACTTCGTAAGCTGACCCTGCAGTCGTTTGATTTCCTCGGTGTTAGGGTCGTCAGATGTAGCGGCTTTCTTTGTGGCAACCTTGGTGGCCTTTGCTGGCTTACTGCCTGCCTCTTTCTTGTCCTTCCTCTTGCGTTTCGGCTTTACTGGCTCATCGATGACATCGGAATATTCGTCTTCCTCGTCCACAACTGGCTTGATCTCATCCCCTTTGGAACCCTCCTCTCCATCTTCTGAGTTCTGTGGTTTTGTTGAACTTGTTGCCTTTTCACTTGTGAGTTCTCCATTCTCAACCTCATCATCGTTATCTCCTGGCACTTCAGATTCAGATTTGATCGCATCCTCTTCGTCCCCTTCTTCAAGTTCAACAGCTTTAGACTTGTGCTTTGGCGCCGCTCTCTTTCGCTTCTTCTGCGGTTTCTCCTCCTCGCTGAGATCACTTAACTCGCTCAGTTCACTGGATACACTGGGCTTAGACTCAAGGTCAGTTTCAATATCAGATTCCTCCTTCTTGTTTGCCTTTTTTGACTTTGATTTTGGTCTGGGCTTCGTGACGCGCTTCTGACGCTTGGGCTTTGGTTCAGGAGATTCGACATCAGGAGAAGAGCGCTTCACGCCTGTTTTGTCTTCTCTATCTGAATCTGCATTTTTATTGCTGTCTGGAACCCATCCGTCCATAAGTTTCTCCTGAAATGAGTAAGTTTATGATGTAGATGTCGTTCACAAGCAAACATACCACTCTGTCCTTGATCAGACTTTTGCTTTTTTGCTTCCACTCTGCACTTGAGAAGAAACCGTCATCAAGGCTGAGATTCTCCTCGGTTTGTTTGCGAACCTTGTTCACAGTAGTTTCGTCTGGTGTAGCTTGATAGACTTGATAAGTGGCATCAAGGAGCGCCTGCTCGATTTCATCTTCTGAAGGCGCCATAGTTAAGTTTAATATAAAATCGGTTTAAGTCAATAAGTGGCCCTTTGTCGGGTTGCTTGAATGAGAGTGATTTGATGGCTCATAGCATGTCACGATGAGTAGTCGAGTGTTCGGGTTGAGTCGCGTTCAGACGCGACAGGCTTGGAGTGAGCCTGGCAGCCCTGGACGTTTATTGTGGAGACTTCTGTTTGGCGGGGGGAGAGCATTGACCAATGGCAGCTTGTTGCGTTTCTGAAAACTCCATCCCTGCTTGTCGAGGTCGTTACATTAATGAACACAATAGAATTGTCAATGTTTCTCCGTTTTTCGAAGAAACAAGGCTCGGTATTAATATGCTCATGTGGCGGCTTATCATATCAAAGTGCCTAAAACGGACATATATAAAGACTGTTCTGTCTTGACTGGGCACTCAACCTTTTACCTGGTGGAGTGACTTTTAGGTGTAGCTTGGCGTCTTTAACTCCGGGGGCAGCACCTAAGTATTTCCCCCTACGTAGAATTCTTAATGCTTCAAACATCTTACATCATTGACCACCATCAGTTCAAAATGTCAGCTTCATTAGCTCCAGAGTGCAACGAGGTTAAGGAGTAAGTTCATCTCACATAATGGATAAGAGCTCCATCTTATACAGAATTCTAGGCGCTATGATACGTGTTTCTTAAAATGGTACAGCGAAAGTATGTATCTCGACCTCTACGGTGGCACTGAGCTGAACATATGCAGAGTACCTTCGAGGCCAAGAAAAGGACAACAAGGAATGTGCAGACATGTTTAAAGAATACCAAAATTGTCTCAAGGTACTCTTCATTCAAGGTTAGAGGCTTCCTGTTGCTCACTTACCACAGGTTGCTCTAAAGGATCGAGGTGTGGATAAATTAGTGGAAGAGGCCCGAGAAGAAAACAAAGAGAACGATCTAAAACACCTTGGACCGAGAAGTATGATACGTTCCTACTTCCTATGCCCTCTAACCTACTAATGTTGCCTCTAGAATGACATGTATCGAGCACTAGAGAGCACGGCGTCCCGGATGGAGAAAATATGAATGTTTGGAGCTTGGTCATCAAGAGCTCCAGATAAGGTATTCCTGTTGTACCTCTCTCTACTCAACTCCCATATAATTTCTACTCCCTTGCGATTCCTCCTCCCCGTCCGTCCCATATCATGCTCCTATGTGTCTGCCTACCATCGTCATCGCCTCGAAGGATGCGGAATCAGGCCGCTCACACGTGATTTTCATTGATTGGGTGACCCACTGTTACTGGTAGTCCATGCCATGTTGCTCTTTGGGGACAGAACAACATGCAAGGGGAACCAATCAACTCGATCTCTTCCATTGGGTCGGCAGTGCCCTCTTGACCTGCATCCTACTGTATTCCCTTTTGTTAGTTCTGACGCTCATAACCAAACGTTCTCGTCTTTATTCAGGACTATCGGCTTTGCGAACCTACGGTCAACCTTCGCTTCGTCCCGCCAGCAAACCCACTACCAACAGCTTAGCATAGACTCTACTGGTATATCTTCTAAGCTTTTACCGGAGGACGGCATGTACTGCCACGAGGAATAGCGCTTCTATGCACCCCTTTTCTATTCTGACGCTCGGCATCTTCGTCGCTGGTTACATTACTGCCCGTTGGGATCTCGTCACTCGTCTCTATGAACTTGCCATCTTCGCTTGGGAAAACGGTGTTGTCGTGAGTCCATGCCCCTCATTTTGCGCAACCTTTGAAAGGACTAACCTATAACTACGAAGACACGCGCAGCGAAAGCCTTTGCTGCACTCTCCGTCCTCTTTCTCTCTATTTGCGCCCCGACTGTCTTCCTAGCCAGAAAAGAAACGAATCTGGTACGCCCGATTGCAACATTCGAAGCCGCTGACAATTGCTAACAAGATCTGTTCAGCATCCAAGAGGAACAGGAACTGGTGTCTCTGCGCGGGAGCAACTCAGAAGGCGTGGTTCATTTTAAGAGACTCGTCCCAGTTGACATAGTTGCTTGTCATGGTAGAGCATGATGGGCTGATGAGAGTGTTCTGGCCGACGGACATTCGCAAGTCTGATCGCCCTGGTGTCGTGGTGGGATGGCGCAATTCCATATTGGACGTGTTTGTCGTGACCATCCTCGAAGATGTCGATGTTTGTTTGGTGTATTGCAATACGATAGCAGGGGTATGCTAATTTTTCTCAGGCACGAAATACCGAATTCCATCTCAAAGCCGGTACTTTGTTCCGTAGCGAGCTTCACCCGACTAGCCAGATCACCGACATGTGTGGCCACAGCTCAATGCATGTCCTTGGCCTCTCGAATGCCATCGATGCAGGCGCCGCAGACCCTTCTTGGTTCTGTGCTACGACCAACTCAAATCCAAGGGAACCAAATATTACATGCGCGAAGGCCGTCAGCGTACAGCTAATTCTATATGACCGACCTCAGCCCCAGGGAATGCAATACGTTTCGCTGAATCCGATCGCACTAGCGCTTGGTCATGATGGTTCCTTGTTAGGTGATACAACAGTGTCGGAAGGGGAGCAAGAGACCCGAGAGCGCCAAAAGAAAGAAGAGAATCACAAATTGGTTGAGAAGCTCAAGAAACACACCATTTTCAAACGAGTTCCTTCTGCACGCGACAGGGCCCTGCCCAAAGTCATCAATCAGATCAACTGGTCTTGGGAGCTGGAGAAGACGTTGCAGAAAAATGTGGGACGGCTGGGATCAAGACCACGCCGAAGCCTTAGTGTGTCTGAAAGGGTGGTTGAGACAGCATCGACAATGCGAAATTATGTCATCCTTCAGTTGTGGACATGGTTTACGCTCTACCTTTTCCCTACTATACGCAAGACCTTTGTCCTTGTTCTCATGGGCCACCGCGTTGTAGCAGAGATGCTGCTCTTGCTGCTTGAATTTCGAGCCAAGCCTGATTATGCGGCCCTGAAAGACATATCGGCTACAGCACAACAAGTTGAGATACGACTACAACAGTTCTGCTATTGGCCGATGCAGTATATGAAATTGCGGCAACGGAAAAACAACTGGGCTAGTGTCACGACTAGTCATCCAGATTATATCCGTTTCTACAACAGTTTATGGCTTGTTGCCAACGATGTCATCATCGGAATCGCCCTAGGTTCATACATTATTGAGAATGCAGACTGGGTTGCTGAGCAAATCGGGGATCTACTCCAGACCTACACGGTAGACGCACTTCAAAGTAGCATATCATGGCTCATGGGCTGGCCGGCTGGTCTCAAACTCAATGGTGAACTGGCGGCTTTCTTAGGAGATTTGTTCCTTTGGGTCATTGATTACTGGTCTAGTGAGTCTTGGGAACCTTCTCAAAATTGCATACCCTCTCTGACTTGCATATAGGTTGTATCGAGACTCTTACACCAGCATTGCCCCAGATGGTGTGGTTCATAGGGTTCTCCTCCTTTGCCGGAGCTAGCATGCCAATTGCCATGTTCTCTGATATGCTTTCCACTCTAACCATTCACATCTACTCGTTCTACCTCGCGTCAGGACGTATATACCATTGGCAGCTCACCATTCTCCAGTCCTTGTTTCATCTTTTCCGAGGCAAGAAACATAACGTTCTTCGCAACCGTATCGATTCCTGCGACTACGATTTAGATCAACTCCTTGTTGGCACCATTCTCTTTACGCTACTCTTCTTCCTCTTGCCAACAGTCGCTGTCTTCTATCTCAACTTTGCCATCGCAAGGATGGCGATTATCTCTTTAAAGGCTGGCTTTGATACCCTTCTTTCATGTCTAAACCACTTTCCTTTATTTGCACTTATGTTGAGAATAAAAGATCCGAGGAGACTTCCAGGTGGCATACGATTTGAGCTCCGAGATAGCCATGACTATAGGCACGACAAAGATACTAATGCTGACGGATTGCCGCCTACGTCGGTTATCTACCTCAAGGTGTGTAGTTTCCGGTTACTTGTATGCAACATAGCACGCTGACACTATTCTTAGTCGATTCCTCTGACATTCCGGATCATGTTCAACCAATACTTCCAGATGGCAAATCGCATCCGGAAGCACTACCTGTCACCAAAAGTCTTCTTCTGCTTGCTGACGGGCAAGTTTGTGCCGCCAATCAACCGCAAGAACTTGTATAGTCTGCAATACAGCATGTTGCCGGCTCGTCGGGCAACCATCTGGGAGATGTGGAGAGCGTTGAACACAGAGACCAGACCAGCAAAGCGGATGCCGTTGCCTTATATCCCGCCATTGCCCAATGCAGGCAGAAGAACCTCAGCGAATAATGGACGGGCTAGATGAATGACAGACAGGAGAATTGCTTGAGTAGTTATGAACAATAGCTAGAAGTATCAATAAGTTCTGTAGAAATTGCTGTGAAAGTGAATTGTTCTGGCGATCAACTGAGAGACGGTCAGATACGGTAATTATACGTCGATCGAGACGTAGTCTTGGGTTATGAAGCAGAACCCCAGCGGGCGTTTATCCTGACTCGTATTGTGCGAGTAATTTGTTGATCGTCATGAATTACAAGCGTTGGTCAGGCTAATCCAAAAGGCACTCGTCATATTGAATGTAAATCGGCTATGCAGTTCGGTTGCAATTGCTTCCATCCTCTAATCTTACACACATGAAATATAATTGGAACTTTATTCTTCCAACCCCACCTCCCCGGATTCACGGCCCTCTTGGTCCTGTTTCACCCGTGGGTTACTTCAGTAAGTAGATATGGATGTAGGTAAGTACTAAGGTACAGGTACAGATCCGCCTGAGCAAGTCGGGCTGGAACTGAAATGGCCAAATCCTTATCCAATTAACCACCACAATGTTCCACAGATTGACTGGGCTGATTACCGTAGAGACCTCTCAGCTCAAATTCCATCGTCTCAGAAGTGGTTACCCAATGATGTAACATTCTCCAATACTCAAAACTACTATTGTTCCCCGCGCTGCACGGCGGTAGAACTAAGACAGGCTCGATGACCCCCAGACCCCTAAAAACGGCAACCTTGATTTCTCCTCGGCGGAGACCAAATGAAGTTAACAAGTTATGGCATATGAATGCTGTATCCGAAAATGTCTGTGCAAACCAGCGATGACGAAAAGCTTGCTGATGGTTGGTAGCCGGTGTGACTTACAAGTCACCAATAGTAACGAAGACATCGTCGATATGTATCTTCAAGGGTCCCTCTAATAAAGTCTTGATCGTAGGCTTCTCTAATTCCTGTTCGGTCCACTCTAACAAGCTAACAATGCTCGTAAGTGCTCTTGGTGCTCTCCAATGCTCCATCGTCTTTTTCAACTTGAAGAACAGGCATTGGCCCACCATTCCTATTTAAAGGGTCCAGAACCCTCTCTTAGTCTCCCTGCCGTACTTTTATCAACGAAGGATGTTCAACCCCAGCTCTAAAGAATTAAACGATTTATAGTGGCACCATCGTTTGGTAACAGCACCACGCTTGCAGCACACCTAACACCTCGCACTTCCTGTCCCATGCCTTGTGACGCCCGCCAATTTCTCACTAACGAATACTTGTCCTGCCGAACCATCCACCAATTCATCCCGTCCATCCATCTCAAACAGGCTATCCCCCAACTGTTCAGGGCAGGCTGCTCCACTCATCACCACGTTCAACAACGTCTTCCCATTCTCGTCGGCCCCATCAGGCGGCATTGACGTCACTACCAGCTGCTGGTTCGACGAGACCTCAAGTCGTGACCCTGAAAGCTGAGGAAGCATTGCCAAAGTCGTACGGAGACGAGGGGTAGCAGTGCAGCGCTCTGGGGTAGTAGAAACTAGAGACACATTGGCATCACCTGCTGCAGCTTATTTCACTTCCTGGTAAGTGATTGACACGTTCTCTCGGTCTCTTGATACTGTCATGTACATATACCTCCAGGACTGGAGAGATCATCCTCGGCCCAGAGTCCCCTTACTACGCCCTCACCAGAACGTGAAATCGGCCTCCCAGTTCTCTGATTCATGCCTGTTTTTGCCATAGGTCAACTGCGTTACCCATATAAAGTCGTTCTCGTCCGCTTTCTTACATCATCTGCTGTAATATCATCTTTCACATTTCTTCCAAGCAGAGCATATAGAAGGAAACTCGAACTAGCAACTTGTATTAACACTGTTCGTAATGGAAACACAGGTCCAAACAACAACCCATCAACACGACCCTTGGGCTGCCACCCATCAGGTCATTCTTCAATCAGCCACCATGGATCCTAAGCAACGTTTCTATAACCATTTCCTGGAGAGTGTTACAGGTAAGAATGGATATTAGGTCTTCAAATGCTCTCCATTGCCTAACCTCCATGTTGCGTAGTACTCCAAGACCTGATCGATGAGCTACCATCCATTGCTAGTGTCGGTGGTGAGCGCCAGGAGGCCATTGATCACATTCTGGCCAGTATCGCCAAGCTACAAAACGAAGTGTCTGATGCTGCCGACTACACACCTTCTTATGACAGAAAACAGTATTCTGAGGTAACACAGCTGGCCTCTTTGACGAGCTGCTTCGACTGACATTCATATGCTCGATAGACCATTAAGACTCTCCAGGACAAATTGAACGAGACAATCACCAAAATCACACCAAAGTCAAAATTTCAGTTTCGTCGTAAGACCGACCACGTTGATATGGGCGCTCCTGAGAACGACCCTCGACTTAGCCCTGGAAGCCATTCTCGGGCCAAGCATGACACGACCATTGCATCTACCATCGTCAGTCCTCCTTCGGCGATAAAGGAAGACACTCTAAGCGAATTACCGCCTAAGGATACCTACAAAAATTACAATGAAGAGATGGCTCGACCCAGCGCATCTTCCCTTCGTAAGCCCAGCTTCTCGGCTGCCAGGAATATTGGCATTTCGAATCATTCAGGGCTACACATTATTCTACCGTCTTCGGCATCCCGCGCCACCTCTTCGGGCAGTCTTACTGATCTCAAGAATTGTGTCATCGACATGTCTATTCCGACATCCTCGGGATCAGCTTTCCCTGGCCTTGCTATTAAGAACGTGTCCAAGAGCCTCATCGTCGGGGGTCGCGTCAACGGCGCAGTTCATATCACAGGAGTGTCTGACAGCACTATAGTTGTTGTGGCCAGGCAAGTGCGGATTCATGAGTGCAGTAACGTCGACATCTACCTGCATTGTGGAAGCCATCCTATTATTGAGGACTGCTCTGGCATGCGATTTGCACCTCTTCCCAAGCCCTATGTAAGATATAATCTTCAATATTTGAATAGCTAGACTAATAGGCGTATAGACGACTGACGCTGAGGAGCCTGGAGAAAACCAGTGGGATCAGGTCGATGACTTTAAGTGGCTAAAGGCTGGTCACAGTCCTAACTGGACCACTCTGTCCGACAACGAAAGGCTCAGTGATGACCTTTGGAGATCTGTCGTCCCTGGCCAGCCTGGTGTCAGTGTGGAGGAGTCCTTGAAAAAGCTGGGCATTCCACGGAGGTGATGACCACAATGAATACCTAGTGAAAGGATGAAATTCATACCCGACCGTAGGGCTTCATATCCGCAGATCAGGTAGAACGCAACGCGCAACATAAATCCTTTTATTTAATGCGAAACTCCAAACACCCTGCTGATAAAACCAATATGACAATCTTGCTAAAAGTATTAGTCCAATGCCGAAAATCATACGTGACCCATCATAAGAAATACTGGACGTGCATCATGACTCCATCTTGTCACCAGCACTGACTTCCTCTTTCCGATCCCTTCCAGTGGCTTCGTCTCTCAATCGTTGGAGTAATGCTCGTTGTTTCTCGATGCGATTTTCAAGGTCACGGATCTCATCGTTCTGTTCGGCGATGGATCGGTCCATATCCGGGAGCTCTCGGACCTGTGCGCGAGCACGCTGTAGCTTGTGTTTCAGGCCATCGGTGGCTCCAGGGACATCTTTGAAAGACAATGTAGGTCCCGAGGCGTTGTGACCGGTGGTCCCGGGGGCAGGCTCTGTAGTGATTCCAGCCGACGACTGAATACCAGCGCGGACGCGGGCCAGGACGAGAGAGAGCTCGGAAAGGGCGTCTAGAGTATCCGGAGAGAACGTGGGTGGGAGGGCCAATGGGTGTGGACCAAATGCGGATGCAGGCGCAGATGCAGATGATGGAGACATGGTCTGTCGTTCTATGATATGACTCGATTGAACTTTGACCGCTCGAGGGCTCGCTCGGAAAGGATGGTAGGAGAGAATCAGGCGACGTAGGTGTGGATGCGGTGTAGTATGATGTCGGCAGGCAGTTCAAGGTGAGTGATCCTGATAGCGTTGTATCTCTATTACATACAGCTCGGGGAAATAGGCCGAGTGGGTTCTCTCAGCCTTGCATAAAACTCGTAATAGCGTCGAGTTTTATCACAGATGGTGGTGGGCAAATGGAAAAGATCGATTGGGCCGATGGGCCGTTTTGTTGTTGGGTTGACGGTCCGAAAGAGAGGGAAAAAGGGTCAAAGGTTGACAGTGTGAGCTCATCATTACACGTTACAAAATGGGACTTCCCGTATGCTAAGCACCGTGTGAATACAAATCATGGCCGCTGAGTGACATGACATAAACCCCCACCACTACAACGTGTTTCCCTGCAAAATCATCTGTCGTCTCTGGGCCCATCAAATCACGCATCATTTCTTTTACTCAAGACAGGTCCGAGTTACTCTCCGTCTTATCCTTATCTTCCTAGAGTCTCTTCTTTATACCTCGTCTATTTCTTTCTCGTGTTCCCTGGTTCTCTTCTTCTTTCTTCTCATTGCCAGTGCAAGAAAGAAAGAACCAACAAACAGTAGTCATCATGTCCAAGACTGATCAAAAAGCCTGCCTCAGTACGTCGTCATGCCCCGCCCCCTCCAAATTCCAACAAACCCATTTTCATGCCCCGCGATCGCGATAGCAACAGCGCTGCAATGGCTCGTTATCCTGAGAAACGTTTGAAGATAAATACTCCCGTTGCTCAGGAATTGCCAATTGTCTCGCGACCAGATTGGATTGTTACATCGTGTTTTGTCCTCATATATTTGGAATTGGCCTGGCTAATATTGTTGTTTTCGCATTCTTATAGTCGTCATTGACGGTTGGGGCATTCCGTCTGCCGACAGCCCCAAGGACGGCGATGCCATCACCAACGCCAAGACCCCCGTCATGGACGCTCTCTACAAGGACTCCAAGGGCTACACTGAGCTTGAGGCCTCATCGCTGGCGGTGGGACTTCCAGAGGGTCTCATGGGTAACTCTGAGGTTGGACACTTGAACATTGGTGCTGGTCGCGTTGTGTGGCAGGATGTTGTCCGAATCGACCAGACCATCAAGAACGGCGAGCTGGCCCAGAATGATGTTATCAAGAAGACTTTCCAGAGTGCTGCTGATGGAAACGGCCGACTACACCTTTGCGGTCTTGTCTCCCATGGTGGTGTGGTAAGTCATATCATATACAGTTCCTTCTTTCTACTATCAGTCACTTACACCAGAGCAGCACGCCAAGCAAACCCACCTCTATGCCCTCCTCAAGGCTGCCAAGGAGTATGGCGTGCCCAAGGTCTTCATCCACTTCTTCGGTGATGGCCGTGACACCGACCCCAAGTCCGGCGCCGGCTATATGCAGGAACTTATCGATACTGCCAAGGAGATTGGCATCGGTGAGATCGGTACCGTTGTTGGCCGATACTTCGCCATGGACCGCGATAAGCGTTGGGACCGCCTCGAGATCGCCCTTAAGGGTCTCGTCCTCGGTGAGGGTGAGGCCTCTGAGGACCCCGTTGCTACCGTCAAGGCTCGATATGAGCGCGGTGGTGATCTTGATAGGGATGAGTTCCTCACTCCCATCATTGTTGGTGGCGATGAGCGCCGCATCAAGGGTAAGTTCAGTTTCAATTAGTTGCATTTCAAACACAACCCCTAACAGCAGCACAGATGACGATACCGTCTTCTTCTTCAATTATCGATCCGACCGTGTCCGCCAGATCACTCAGCTTCTGGGCGATGTTGATCGATCTCCTCTTCCCGACTTCAAGTACCCCAAGATCAAGCCCCTTGTCACCATGACTCAATACAAGGGTGACTACCCCTTCGAGGTTGCTTTCAGGCCCCAGCACATGGGTAACGTCCTCGCCGAGTGGTTGGGCAAGCAAAACGTTGAGCAGGTCCATATCGCTGAGACCGAGAAGTATGCTCACGTCACCTTTTTCTTCAATGGCGGTGTTGAGAAGGTCTTCCCTCTCGAAACCCGTGACCAGTCCCAGGATCTCGTCCCCTCCAACAAGTCTGTCGCTACCTACGATCTTGCACCTGAGATGTCTGCCAATGGTGTCGCCGACCAGGTTGTCAAGCGCCTGGGTGAGCAGAAATTCCCCTTCGTCATGAACAACTTTGCCCCTCCTGACATGGTTGGTCATACTGGTGTCTATGACGCTGCTGTCATCGGCTGTGAGGCCACCGACAAGGCCATTGGCAAGATTCTTGAGGGCTGTAAGAAGGAGGGCTACGTCCTCTTCATCACAGCCGATCACGGCAATGCTGAGGAAATGAAATTCCCTGACGGCAAGCCCAAGACTAGCCATACTACAAACAAGGTGCCCCTTCTCATGGCCAACTACCCCGAGGGCTGGAGCCTCAACAAGACCGATGAGGGTGTCCTCGGTGATGTTGCCCCTACCGTGCTTGCTGCCATGGGTCTACCTCAACCCGAGGAGATGACTGGCAAGTCTCTTCTCCAAAAAGCTTAATGTTTATGACGATGATGAGAGCACGTATCTAAAATAAGGGTCCCTCGGGATGGTGTAGCAGTAGTGGGTGTGGCATTAGCGATTTGTGGGCTGTTGGTTATTGTTGCGCGTGAGTCGATGCGATGACTCTGGAGTTGAGGGCGGAAGGGTTAGAAGTTATGCTCGGCTGCATAGACATAGAGTCGTAATCCTAAAATAGTAAAACGACTAGTAATAGAGACGAACAACATTGCCTCTCAATTTCCTGACTGTATCGGTATAAATATCTAAGGGAATTGATCCGCTAGGTATGAGACCGTCGACGGAATCGATTGAGAATACCAATTTCTGAAGCGGCGGATCAAGGCACCGATGAGTAGACCAGTGCATCCCTTCTGCTTGTTTCCTGTACCTAAACTACCTACACAAAGACAACGACAACGAAGCACTACAACAACCAGTCCACCCTATACTGGCTAGTAAATTCCCATCGAGATAATTCTAACTAAGTCTCTTCTAACGTGAAGGTCGGTAGGTGATATAGAAATTGAGAGTAGGTGGCTAGTGAACTCTCAATTTAGAAACCAACAATGCCCTTTCTTGACAAATGGACATCCCATATCAGCTACACATAATTATCCCATTATATGGGATGATACACAGACAGTGTGCGTATTGTCGGGATTCATTTCGTGTGCCAAATCATATGAAATAACAAAAACCGAGCTAAGTCTAGGTCGTTCGAAATTGGCGACAGTAGATAGGGGTTTAAAAAGAAACAAAAATTGAATTCATCGTAAACGCGCTAGATCTTTACCGCTATATCATATCGTATAGATACGATTAACTTAGCCCAAGACCGATACGAGCAAGACATGTCATTGCTTGCTCCAGGCAGTTAGGGTGGCAACATCAAGCCGAATCAGTTGTACGTACGGAGTAATTCACTCGTAACAACGAACCAGGAGAGGCTGTTAAAAAGTCCCCTGTGAAGCTGATGCGAGAACCAAAACTAGCGAACTGTAGTCTGCCGTGGTGAATACTCGACCAGAGTCTTGAGGGCCAGGTCGTTGGATGGATACAAACAAGCTGAAGCGGGCCTCGGGAGCAAGAAAACACAAGACCTTTATATAGAGTGCTAAAATAAACTCAGTAAAAGATATCCTAAACTTAATGTATATATTCTAAATTTATGTAAAGTTACCTAAGTCTTTTTGTCATTTAGGATCAGGGTCTTGAGTTTTCTTTCCTCCCCTCGGGGGGCACCCCGGTTCCTATCACAGAACCCCAATAAATAGGCAATATTCCCATGTAGAACACCACTTTCGTCTGTTGTGGGACCATGATTTCCGAGGGACTGTCTCCGAAAGTATGGGGAAAGTGGCAGTGAAACTAGATCAAAGTCGAGTATTGAGATAATACCTGACTTCCTCAGATTGGATGAGTGAAAGGAGCTGGAACTGTGATGGTGGGTTATCAGAAGCATATCAACTGGAACAACTTCACAATCCTATGGAGGCTCAACTTACACCAAAAGCTGTTTAGCCAATGGTGTGTTCGGGTCTGGTGTCATGTACCAAGGGGTCAGATCACTCCCGCGTCCTGGGCGATCGGAATCCACAGTGCTTCAGATCTGTGCAACCTTACAAGCCACATGCTCTTCTATCTAAGCAATCACTTCGTCTCAATTCGACGATCACCCAGGGGTTATGTGTGGCTTCAAACAGCAGATATCTGCTAGGGACGCTCAAACAGCATCCTTAAAACATCCTAGTGGTCAAGGGACGCCGGAGGTCCCGCTCCGGCAGCCAAGGGTCCCCCGAAAGGGCGAGTTGGCCTTTAACTCAAGCATCTAGATTTGATGCGGGAGCCAAAAGAGGGAGGGTCCAGCTGTGCTTCGCTGGCTTGTTGGTGTACGTACCAATTCTGGTGACGATCGTGGGGGAATGGCAAGGTCCCGAAGATCGAGCGGAAATAAGCAACAGCCATAGACTCGAGGCCTTCAACCGAATCCTAGGTTAGACCTATCGTAAGCGGTGGATAGTCCAAAGAAGCAGAAACACACGTGCCTTGCCTCTCAACCACAGTGGCTCGTGCATATGTATGACATGAAGACGCAAGGCTTGAGTAATTGATTGTGACGACGGCCGCACTTGTGATACAACAATCTGTAATCACGCTTCTGTGCTGTGCGCTGTAGACTGGTTCATACTGCAAAGGCTACCTAGTCATGAAGACGAACACGGAAGCTCATCCATCCGTTGCAAGTGGCCAGGATGTTTCACAGATCGCGTGCAAATCTGTAATGCCTAGAGATCAAACCCATGGGCCGTCCCGATAGATCTTGAAAGTGGCCGGGGGGGGGCTGGGTTGTTTGTGCCTCGCAATGATGTTAAAGTAAGGGCTTCGTGATCTTTCAGTTGTATAATGCAATAAAGTGATTGGCCTGTGATAAGACAAGATCCCAAGTACAACAATCAAGATTTGCGTTTCATCTCGCAATCATTCCTTCATACCGAAGAGCCACGACACTTCGCCTACAGGTTCGTCCCTGACGATGGTCTCGAACGAATCCACCATTCATCAACACGTTCACCCATTCTAGATCCAAGGGGGAGCGGCGCCGACGATGAACGGGTGATCAACATGGAGATTGTTCAAATCCCCATCATCTGGGATCGCATTTTGGCGTAAGGAGTGAGCAAAACTCCAGTTAAGAGGGTGCCTCTAGATTTCTCTTTTCAGGGACGTTGATCGACACTTGTGGAAGAAATCAACCTCCCAAGCGAAACAAGGGATTGGGTGGTGTCGATGGACCCAAGCCATCTTTGCTCAAGCCTGCCCGCGATCCAGCTGCACGAAGGGTCGTCCCGTGGAGCTCGATCCTAGCTATAACTGCGCTTCCTCGAGATCGAGAAGGTTGAAGCGCCAATCTACCCAATCAGAATGTATTCGGTCGCTTACATCCGAAAGAGATGTGGCAATGTGCGATAGGGGTGTGTATTGCCATTCGAGACAGGAATTTTTGCAGGTTTTGAGAATTCGGTTCGCATCTCAAAAGTTTGGCATATCCTATTGCCACGGAGAATTGGGGTTAAGGTGTGCATCTAATTGGAGATACAGTTTTGGTGTTGTAGGAACTTGCCCCTGTTCATCAAGAACACCATGAACTTAGGAGTGGATGGAGAACCGTCGCGATTGGACGGTTGACGTTGTCCTGTCAGTCTCGTGACTTTCTTCAGAAAATCCGTTAGAAACCTTAAATACATGGTATTACTTCTTGTTTCAATCCGTCACCCACTACGTACTAAAGTTTTGGGCGAAAACAAGGAATCGAGATTTCTGTCTGTAGAAGCCATTCGAAATGTTCTAAGCGCTCAGGGGACTTGACCTTGCAAGGACCCTGGATTTCCTCAATCGGATGACGGATCGACGTCACATGGCGAGTGATCTGCAAACCAGAGCCTCAGTTGGGTAGTCAATGACAGGTTTCTAGGGGTTTTGGCCAGACTACATCGTGTCACATCACAGGCCGGAAAAGGCCACAATCTCTACCCTGACTTGCTGAGCATGTTAGCTTACTGTAAGCTGCAACTATGGCAGAGACATCACGAAATTGAATATCAAAAACTTGGAAAGGGTTCTGGGACGTGCATGGGTCTGTCAGGGATTAGGTACGCGTGGTCTCCAGCTAGAAAGGCCGTTAGTCCGGTTCCCCGGTGATTTGTGTCAGGATATCCTACACATCACAAGAGGCAGAAAGTATCGCGAGATGATAAGGTGAGCAAGTGCGAAATACTTGCTCAGGGGTCAGATAAGCAAAAGCTGAAAGATGGCAACATAAATGGCGATTGCAGATGTTTTCCTTTGAACATGGTATCGGGGTTGTTTGTGTTTGAGATGACTGGAGATCATTTTCCTGACAGAGCTGAGTTTCGGGTATGTAGTGGGTATCTAGCAACCACCACAGCCCATTTTCCTTGACTTTCGATAGTTGTCCTGTTTTCACTGACTCGGACTGTGTTGGCATTCATAACCGCCGGTTCTTTTGATGGTATCTAAACCAAAACAATGTGGCCCTTTACAATTCGAAGTCAATAAGAGATTAGGGGAGTTGGCGAGTATCCAAGAGACTGCTGCGATTTGGAAGACAACATGTGAGTTGATAGTTAGTTCGGTAAATGGAGAAGCATCCGGCAAATGCACAGTGTCAGGCCCTATTTAGCACTCGGCGGAAGTCTGGAAGCCTCCAAACCAAATTGCCTTGGTCAAGCCAGGACCGATGACAGACAGAAACCAAGATCATCAGGCAGCTTTGAGACAGAGGGTGAAAGAAAACAGGGCAACTCGCTTAATGGAAATTGTGGAAGATAATGGACCTCACTTTTCTTTCATCCAGCAAACTGATTCGCCATTGGTCAAGAGATGCTCTTCTAGCCCCCGCACTCAGACAAAGTTGGGGCGTAAGCGAAGCCGACGGAGGTGACAAGTCAAAGGGGTGTGATCGTAATAAGATCCAACAACGACCCTGAAAGTCTGCCCTGATATGAACCTGATCCCTAGCGGGTCACGGAATAAAAACATGAGCAGGTTGGCGTGGCCACTGACGAAAGGAGTGAACGAATTAGAGGTCCACACCATCTAGGGGTGCACCGAGGCGCTAGTAGAGCCCGTTAGAGGAGGTCCCTGCTTTTGGCTTTTTCTGGGTCCGATGGTCTCTGATCTCTATGCTTCTCCAACGACTTGGAAATCGGAGCAATAAGGGCTCGATCTACCATTCTAGCTCTTGCATCCTCGTCCAAACCTGGCATCCTCGCTCAACCCAACCTTTCCCCCTCGCCGCTTTCGCCTTGTATTGCTCGTACCTATTGTGAATGGGTGCCACCGCCGCGCCCCGGCACTCGGCTGCCCTGGCGGGTGCGCATGGATAGTATCTCGCTGTCTCTACTGCACCCGGAGTGAAGGACAAAACTCTTCTACATCTTGTGGAGGCCCTGAATGCCCTCTTCCCACTGCCCACTGCCACTGTCTAGAATTTGCCCCCCAGACTCGCCATCGGCCTTCAGCCTTCATAAGATTCCTCCTGTTAAGTATCCTTCTAGGACAGGTTTTCCGGATTGTGGCTTGTTTACTCTTCTTGAACTGAACTTGACTCCTGAGCTCTTCAGGCTCAGCTTGGACTCCTCACCAACCCAGATCCCGTCCACTCTCCCAGACCTTCCCTGCCCCCTCAGCTCCGTGGAACGGTAGTAAGCAGTCGCTTCTCCTAAGTGCAGCTTCTTCACACCCATCGACTTCAGTGCCACCTCGGTGCCACCCTGGTCTACTCATATATCGACCGTTGGAATACTGACTCCACCACTTGCTCTCTCTTCTTTCCAACACATTTCAGCCTTTGAAGCTGTAAAATCTTTGTTATTTCTGCACCGCATAGGCTTCCTGTCTTCACCACACGACAATCGAAGAGGCAACTTTTTACTTGACCGGCATTCCGTACCAACACTTCACGCCAACGCTCCTTCGAGCCACCGACTTGAGTTGCTCGCACAACGATCTGAATTCACAATCAAGCAGCAAACTACAAGAAGTACTAAATTACGAAGTATTGCATTATTGCAAACTTAGTCCGAGCCATATTGGAGCACCGACGAGGATTGGCACATCGAACGATTTCTCTACGGTAGTGAATAAGTCAAGCTTTCAAGAGTTTCCTCGTTCGACCAAAGATCACTACCACTGAACGTCTGCGACTCTTTTTGGGTGGATGCAACCTTTGTTTGTGGCTCGGCTTGACTGTGGAGATAAGTTCTGATTCGCGCCAACTCAATACCACCCACGAACATACAACGACGCTTTTCGGAAAACCATCAATCAACGTCTTGTTGAATCGGAGAATTTTAGAGAGGAATATCTAAGAAGGCTCCAATTGCCTTGAAGTGGTTTTTTTTTTATTGGAAACGGTGAGTGTCCCAGAAACCCCCGGTATTTTCCCCTCCTAAGACAGTGTAACCCGCGTCTCATCATCTTTCGTCATTTGGCGATGAAGTCTCGATCGATCGATCGGTCCCTACTCCGCAGCCAATAGGAGCTCGTCTCTGTTGTCTCTGAGAACCTTCATTGCTCATGCCCTCCATCATCCAGCTGCTCCGTAAAACTATGGATTGTGCTAATGATACCCCTGAAGTTCAGGCTCTCAGCCCAAAGGTGCTTCCAGGCCCTACGTCACAGATCGTCGGACCCTTAGGTCTATACTAGGACCCTTCTCGGCGACTATTTTTTCACGATATGCTTGCTGCTTCACAGTTCTGGAAATGCTAAATCATCCATCAAACTTATGAAAGACAATGCCACTTAACGAAAGCACCTCCCACGGAACGCAACCTCCGCCGTCTTCGTCCAAGACTGGCCATCCTCTACCTCGACGCACCTCTCCCGCGAACTCAGTCACCCTGCGCCATCACCGATTAGCACAAGATGCATCAATCAACGCTGGTCAGGGCTCAGGGCTCGCTATCAAGCCAACTAAGACAGGATCACCTCGACGAAACTCATCGGGTGATAGTCATGAGACTGGCCAGAGCGATCCCAACACATGGTTTGACCAGTCAAATCAAAACCCAACGGCAACTTTTGACAGCAACGTTATGGAAGGTAAGAGCCAGTTTTAAAACCTGAACTGAGTAAAGACTGATTGGGTTGCTAGTTGACCCGCCATTCTTTCAAAAAGAGTCCGATTCTTCGAATGAAGAGAAGATGTACTACAATCACCAACTTGCTCCCCCTAAGCTCACCGCGGCACACAGCAGCAGCGCAGACGATTACAGAAGTGTCATTGATGATCTCACGGTAGAGATACAAAAGCTGAGGGAAGAGCTTAAGCGATACAAGAACACCGGTCCCGATATGCTCCGAAAGGAGAAGCTCTTCGAAATCAAGGTTCATGGGCTGCCAAAGAAGAAGAAGAGAGAGCTGGAGGCGACACTCCGAGATTTCGCTGCAAGTCTTGAGGGGTCTCCCAACGCGTCATCAACACAGAAAAAGAAGTCTCGACACGCTACTCGCGAAAATATGTATTCTGGATCCGGATCGAAACATGCGTCATCATCTTCAGGATCCAATTTTCGCCCGGCCGACTCTGCATACGCCTCTATGTCAACCGGCGCCAACTCAGGAACGTCTCTGAGCCGTCCTAGCATGGGCTCCCAGGCCAAGTCGTCTGAGGCGGTTGAAAGTTACCTCCGTGATATCCCCGAAGGGTTGTACCCGAGACACATGATTATGACAGAGAAAGAGAGAAAGAAGCTTGTTGTTCGCCGACTTGAACAATTATTCACAGGAAAGATTGGCGGGCGCCATGTGGTGAAGAAGCAGCCCGTGTTGCCTAGTGGAAGTTCTGCAGCTCTAGCACCAGTTGTCGCCGAGACACAGCCCACAGTCTCAAATACGTCAAATTCTATCCACGAACCACCAGCCTTACATACCAGTGGCAAAGAGCCCACGAGAGAAGCTCGAATCCTCCCCCTTGAGCAGCAATCTGGTCACTCCGGTAAAAAGAGTCGATCTGCTGACAATGCCTCTGCCTCTAATTCCAATGGCGACAATACCGAGTCCGGCGGTAATGGCAACAGTACAGGGTCAGGCACAAACACTACTCCTCCTATGGCTACCGTACCCGAACAACGGCCCACACGGCCTCGTGATTTAGACCCTGACCGTGCTCAGGTTCCAGCCGAGAACATGGACTATATTCGACATCTAGGCTTGGTACCTCCGGAGCTGCTAGCCGAACAACATAGCCAGGATGTACATCCTGATGCTGAGGGATGGGTTTATCTGAATTTGTTGTGCAATTTGGCTCAACTTCACATGATTAATGTGACCCCCGACTTTGTCCGCTCAGCTGTTTCTGGAATAAGCACAAAATTTCAGCTGTCGCCTGATGGCCGAAAGATTCGATGGAGAGGTGGAACAGAGGGAACAAGATTCAGCAGTGACAGCTCTGGATATAATTCTCAAAAGAGTCCATCTACAGACGAGACTGAGGATGGAATGGAAAATAAGCGCAAGCGTCAGAAAACTGGGCGTTCCACAGGGGACGAGTTCCAGTCTGGGAGCTCAAGCAAGAATGGCTTGAAGTTTGACCCGCAACTTTGTGCTCCATCTGAAAGCTTCCATTACAAGCCCTTGTTCGCTCAGCAGGATTCATCGGGTGGTCAAACATCACTCGATGAAACCGTTTCTTCTTTTGGTCCTCCAGAGGAAAGTAATATTGGTGAATCGAGGTGGGGTTTGAGCGGCTCAGGAGTCTCCAGCCGTAGGAAGCGCCGCCATGATGGTGCTATCATCTATTATAGCGGTGCTCCATTTTGCACGGATCTATCTGGAGATCCTGGAGATATGTCGCCAACGACGCAGATGCGCGCTGCTGGTCAGACTCAGACAGACCAAGATACCTTCAAGATTCCCCCATCACCTCTCAGAAGAACAGATTCTGGTTCTTTCATCAACTATCGGCCGTTGACCGATCGTGGGCTCTTGTCTAGCCAGCAAAGTACAGCGATGGATGTCGATAGTGAAGATCCACCCAGCCTGACAGACGATGCCGACGATTTGAGCGAGGTTGATCTGGACTTCACGTGGTCTGATAATGCACAGTACATGCAGCACTTCCCCCTTGAGCCTTGCGGCTTGGGAGGAGTTTTACCCGAGGACCATTTCATGGTTGTTGTTTCAACCAAGCGACCTAAGCAAGACGAATTGTCTGCGTTACAAGTCGGTGGTAGAAGGTTTAGTGAAAACACGGATAGTATTATTCGCCGATTGGCGACTATGTCAACGTCCTCACCGGATTTGGGAGCTTCAAAATCGCTTCCTGCTACGCGCTCTCTTCCCATTGAGATCGAATACATGTCAGGCCGTATCAAGCGGCTAGCACCAGTTTCGCTGCCTCCCCCTGCAATCTTCTTTCCGCCGTTCAGCCCTACCGAGTCAACAGCCGATGACGATTATGATGATTCAGACGATCTCGGCATGTCTTCGTCCTTAAGGGATCTTATTGGCCAACGAACAGCACAACGTCGTTCAGATGGATATCCTGATGGCGTTGATCTTAGCAGTGGTGACGAAGAAGGTGATGAACCTGATGATTCACCAAATCAGAATATTTATGACATCAATCGAGACCCAAAGGCGTTGCCAAATCGGCCCCGGCAAGCCGCACGCCGTACCAGTAGCGCTGCTGCGGCTGCTGGCACTGCTCGGGGCGCAAGCAAGAGCAATAGCGCCAATCCGGCGCTTTCACGTGATGAGACTTCTGTTGATACTGCTGGAGCGATCGAAAGTGGTTACAGCAGTAGCAAGGAAAGCGCTTAATATTTACCTATTACTTCAGTCTACTTACTACACATTTCATACTTCACGACTTGATTAGGGGTTACGGATTTCACGAATACGGAAGGTCAAAAAAAGATTTCTTGTACAGCCTTGTGTGACATTCTTGACCTTCAGTCTCTGTTTACAAGGGAAGGTTGCATTATTTTGCATTTAGCTGGGCGTTTATGAGGATGGATAATGATTCCCTGGATAATATTTGTTACGAGATGAAGGGTTGCGCAAAACGGCGTGGGCCTGGGTATGAATTGTTTTCTGAATTTCACAAGATGAATCACTAGGCAACTTAGTGTCACATTGAGATACCAAATTTATTGTTGAAACACAATTCTGCTGTCTTCGTCGCCGTTGCACACTACCTGTTATGAACCCTGATTGTTTTCAGCTGCGCGCTGGGACTCACAGCGCGCCTTGGCTTATGAACGATCCATCTATGATCTACTAAAATCAGACTTTGAAACCAGATGATTGTTTGAGCTGCCAACTTAATCAACACCAGTCCTTTTTCCTTTGCATAGGGGACTACACATCATACTGCTTATTTCCACGTGGATTTAGAGTTGTCTGGACACATTGTTTCTGTCCTTGCCTGGAGCCAACGAGTTCTGCGTCACGTGAATGGACGCTCACGTCTCACTCGGGTCATCATTCGATTTCTCCCATCGGAATGCACGAGGCGACCTGGATTCTACACCTTCATCTCATTGTCGTGAAACATAATGTATTTAACCAACACGTTACCTTTGGCTCTGCTTGGCGCCTTCGCAAGTGTCCTGTGTAGAGCAGAAGATGTTCACAACGTTGCCATCATTGGTCCGTACTTGATTTCCGTATTTTAGAGACATGATTCAAACACGAACCCCAAGTGCTACAGATGCATTCCCTCACGATATTGCTGGTCAATCCCTATATCAGGATTGCCATGTACTAACTTGGAGTGTAGGGGCCGGAGCAGCTGGGTCGTCAGCAGCCTTCCATTTGTGGCAATATGCTATAGAAGAGGATATTGCTATTAATATCACCATCTTTGAAAAGACGGATCGCATCGGAGGGCGTACATTGACAGTCCCTGCGTATGATGACCCTTCTGTGCCCATCGAGCTCGGCGCGTCTATCTTTGTTGGCGCCAATCATATTCTTGCCAACGCCAGTGAACGCTACCATCTCCCAGTGAGCGAGCCCCACCGTCTCGAGAAGGATGATATGACTGTTATATGGGATGGCTATGAGTTCGTCTTTCAGACGACCGAGGGGTCTTGGGCATGGTGGGATCTGGCCAAGATGTTCTGGAGATATGGGCTCGCACCCTACAGGTCTAAACAAATCGTGGATGCTATGGTCAAACATTTCCTTAAGTTATACGAAGCCCCTTACTTTCCTTTCAAGTCGCTCACTCGGAGAGCCGAACAGTTGGGATGGAAAGACATTACAAGTATAACAGGAGAGCAGATGTTAAAGCGAAACGTAAGTTCAAACTGTTCAATTGTAAACACGTGATGGCTAACTGGACAGGAAATTGATCCCCGTTTCGCCCGTGAGATCTTACAGGTTGGGACACGGGTCAACTACGCTTCAAACCTGGCTCATATTCACGGTCTCGAGACTCTAGTGAGTGGAAAATATGACCCCTTGCACGCTTCTTGCCTAACTACGATAGGTTTCGCTGGCAACCGACAACGCGATGTCTGTGGACAGCGGCAACTGGCGTATCTTTGAGCATATGGTGATAGAGAGCGGAGCTTCTATCTCACGCAACACGACCGTGACTTCAATCGAAAAAGCCCAAAAGAAAACACGGTCATCTTCGCCAGGGTATGTCATCACAACGAAAGATGCCAGCTCAAAGGACGACACTTCGAAAGAATATGATGTCGAGTTTGATAACGTCATCATCGCCAGCCCCTGGCAGTTCAGTAACATAAAAGCTGGAGAGGGTGTTCTCGATCGCAAAATCGATGAGATTCCCTATACCAAACTGCACGTTACACTCTTTGCATCACCATTGGAGCTTAGTCCCGAATTCTTTGGCTTGAAGGCCGGAAGCAAATCGCCCGCTACTGTCTACACTACTCTTGGTGAAGACGAAGAGCCAAGAAAAGGGGCTGAGGGGGTCGGTCGTACTGGCTTCTACTCTGTCAGCACATTGAAATATCTCGTCAACCCTAAGACATATCAGAAGGAGCGTGTCTATAAGATTTTCTCGCCCACACCCATCACTGCTGATTTCCTTACGCGTCTTTTGGGCACCGATATCCCAGATTCTGTGATTTCTGGAAAGTTACAGGATGATACAAATACATCCAGTCCCATCTCTTGGTATCATTCTCACTGGTTCAACTCTTACCCCATTGAGCTCCCTCGTGTCACATTTGAGGACCCTGTTATCGGTGAGGGCGTATACTACACGTCTGGTATTGAGAGCTTCGTGTCATGTATGGAAACCAGTGCTTTGATGGGTAAGAATGTGGCCCGGTTGGCTGTAGATAAATTTGCTGGTATTTCTCGCCCGGAACCACCTACTGAATGGGAGGGATATGAAGCCGATGACGAAGAGGAGGGAGGCATTCGTGCTCAGGCTGGAAGTGAACTTTGATCAAAGCTAGGATATATATATTCGCCTTATCATCGTTGGAGATCTACGTGCCAGAATGAATTCACCGTCCGAGGACAATGGCTGGAAGGCACATGAGGGAAATTCCATTAAACTATTGTTATGCGTTTGGCGATATTAAATCAAGATATGTGTCACTAGTATTACTAGCAGTTAGCGTGGCTACCTAATCAACATTGCCGTGAATCGCAGTTCAAGTATCTGTGTTTATGTGGTCATTTACATGAAGTAACTTGATAAAGCATCTTGATATTCTTAATAACAAAACACGATGTCAGAGATAGCTAATCCCAAGGCCCCCTAAAGTCATACTGAGCATCCCTAGGGTCTTTTTCTTTTTAGCTCAGAATGGAATTCTAAAGCTTTCTCTTCCCCCAAGCCAATCTCCTCCTAATCCTCCTTGTGAGGTAGTAGGCTGTAATATTTCCAGATACCCTGGTCCACTAGCCTCAGTGGCGCACGTCAGTTGTGGCAAACATCCAATGACCCCTCCTTCTTCACCCCTCCAACCCAGGTTTCTTCAAAGTACAGTACACAAAGAAAAGGCGGGAGGCAGTCACGGCCTTTTTCACATACATTAGGTACTTCCTCCATGTTATGACGCACTCGTCCTCCTTGCACGCTCAAGCTTGATCCTGCCTAGGCTGTTGGTCCAGTCAATCCCGGCCGCCTTTTTCTATTTCCTTTTCGCTGTCACAAGCTAGACAACGGGGGACTTGCCTAAGGAAATACCTAAGGTGCCTTTGTGAGTGAATGGGAAGGTTCTTGGCCTGATTATGCCTGCTCCTGCTCTGGTGTCTTGTCACGTCACAGCTTTTTTATTTGTTTGTCGTGCACCGACAGCATCGCCAACTTTCACCTTCCTCCTTTTCTAATCTTCCATCCTACCTAACCTTAGAGAAATACTCCCCACGACTCCCTGATTCAGCGCCTACAACAATAACACCAACCGTGCAAGTGTCGCATCACACACTTTCTTTCTCTCTTTGCCCGATTCTTTCCTCTATTGAAAGCCAAGGTCAGCATGTTCGCCTTACGAGGAAGTAAGTTACTGCCCCGCATCATCCCTGCTCCCACCTTACAACCAACATCTACATCTTGAGCATAAAGAGGAACAGCCTCGCTTCTTTGTGCCTTATCTCTCCCGCCACTTCTGCATCTTCCCCTTTCTGACGCGCCGCTTTCACACTCGTGCAAGTCTACTAACACTATCGTTCTCAAGTCGGCAAACTGATATTCGGTTCAAGCACGCAGGAGGCACTGATCGAGCTTCCACAGGGACAGCTCTACCTTGTTCGACCTTTATCTCCCAAGGGCTATTCCGAACTCATTTTTCGAGACTCCGCTATCCGCATCCGACGCACAAATCAGGAGTTCCAGTATCAACTTGTTGTTCAACGCGTCTTTGAAGAAGGTGAGGCAGAGCTTCTTGCCGAAGAAGAGGGTGAAGACGCCGAAATCGACGCCCTCGCATCTGAGAAAGACGAGAAGACCTTCCTACTCGACGAGGCTCTATTTTTCCGTTCTGAGATTCGCGAGAGTGGTGACAAAGTTCTTGCTTGGAAGGATTTAAGCGGTGATACTGGTGACCTCTTCCAGTTCGTTTGCGACCCTTCTGTTACAACATCTCAGGTGCAGCAGTTTGTGCAAGTTGCTCAGCAGTGCCAATACGAGCGCAAGTATCGCAAGTCGCACTCCACAGCAACAGCCTCCGACCTTCAGCAGTTCGAATTCAAAGAAGAGGACCCGATACCGCCTGCTAGTCCCCTGCATAGCCCAACGTTGGCTCGATCTATCGAATCTGTCGACGATATGTTATCTAAGACCCAAGCAAATTCCGCTGCTAAGCGTGAGCCTGCCTTCGTGCCCGAACAGGAAATCGAAGCCCCAGTCTTGACTGGTCCGGACGCTAGCAACCCTCCCGAGCCTCTGGATATATATGCCGCTGTTGTGGCTGAACTCCATGTTTTTGACCCTCAGCCCGGTCATTTCGCTCTCGTTGATGATTCCATAATTGCTCAAGTCTCAGAAATTGGGAAATGGGAATACTGGCTCCAGATCGAGGCGAACGATAAGGCGTATCTGGGTACTCCTGTCGTCGCTGACTTCAACCCTGTCTTTGATTTTGAATATCTCTCTTTCGTCTTCAATCATTTCAGTAGTGATGGAACTGCGCGATCATGGCTTCTCAGATTTAAGGATCAGCCCACCTTGGAAAAGTTTCAAGAAGCGATTATGCAAGCCATTTGGGAGAAGCTGAACGAGACCAAGTGGACAAAGATGCAAGACAAAGAACGCGAATATGTTCTTGACGCATTTGGCGATCTGACGATGGAAGATGCGCCTTCCACTGAGGAAGAGGAGGAGGAGGAGGAGGAGGAGGAGGAAGAAGAAGAGCTAGAGGATGATCGCGCGCAAGAGGAGGAGTACGACACAGATGAGGAGAACGATAGTAGCTTCCCCAAGAACGCTGATGGTGAGGTCAACTCGCAACTGGCTGTTGGTTACAAGCATGACCGCTCATTCGTCGTTCGCGGCTCCAAGATTGGTGTATTCAAACATACACCCAACAATCACCTCGAATTCTCCACGAATATTTCCAAAGTCACAACTCCTTCAGGCAAACTCATGAACCCGAAGAAAGTCATGCTGCACAGCGAGGATCGAGATCTCATCTTACAGAATGAGATTGACCCCAACAAGCTCTACCGTATGGACCTTGAGTATGGAAAGGTTGTGGATGAGTGGAACGTTCATGATGACATCCCCGTTGTCACATTTGCCCCCGAGAACAAGTTTGCGCAGATGACCTCTGAACAGACCTTCTTGGGCGTCTCAAACAATGCTCTTTACCGAGTTGATCCCCGTCTATCCGGTAACAAGCTTGTTGATGCCGATATGAAGCAATATGCCTCGAAGAACGACTTCTCTGCTCTCGCAACTACTGAAAAGGGCTACATCGCTGTTGCAAGTAATAAGGGTGACATTCGTCTCTTTGACCGGCTCGGCATTCGAGCCAAGACACAGCTTCCTGCTCTTGGTGACCCCATCACTGGTATTGACGTTTCTGCCGATGGCCGGTGGATCTTGGGAACAACCAAGAACTACATCCTGCTTGTTGACGCCCAACAGAAGTCTGGAAAGAACGAGGGTAAGCTTGGTTTCGAGAAGGCTTTCGCTGCCAATGACAAGCCGCATCCTCGACGACTCGCCCTTACCCCTGAGCATGTCGCCCAGTTCTACCACGAGACTGGGAAACCCGTTGATTTTACTCCTGCCAAATTCAATACTGGAGAAGGCGCAGAGGAGACAAGTATCATCACTGCAACTGGTCCCTACATCATCGAATGGAACCTAAAGCGAATCCTTCGGGGTATGAAGGCAGCTTACAAGATTAAGCGTTATGAAGAGGAGGTCAAAGCGGACGACTTCAAATACGGCTCGGACAAGAACGTCATTGTTGCTTTGCCCAACGAAGTAAACATGGTTGCAAAACAAAGCCTAAGGAAACCCACCCGCGAGAGCATCATTGGTAACGTTCGATTGAGTGATTCGCGTCGAGGCTCTGGACGCATCGGGACTCGAGACAGTGGCCGATACAAACTTGGAAAGGACGACATTGTCAATGCACCTTATTGAGTGGAAGAGATTGTCACTTGCGCAATTGCAGCTGATTCGGCAAATTAGGGTAGTACTTTGAAGTGTTCCGACTTCATGATGAGATCCGAGACGGAGTTTTGGTGGACTTTGGAATTTGTAAAGCATGGGTTTCGTAACCTGTCTGCTCTCTTTTTGTTTAGATACCATCTGCTGATGTGTTTGCATCGCAATCAATGCACTTTATCATCTTCGGGCCTGCGGTAGCTTACATTTGCCCTCGGCATTGATCTTTTAGGTTACCATGGGCAGAAATAGCAAGAGTCCAATTGACTTTTTACATATGCACACATGATTCAATGGCAAGAACTCATATCTGAATGAACATTAAAACGCAATCGACACACTCATAAACAAGGCCGATGACTTCATCATGATAGTTTTTATTATAGCAAAAGAAAAACAGTTTATAATGAGACCTAAATCATGACCGCTTGCCCAAACCGTGAACTCGTTCTTGCACAGCAATGTCCTTCCCTGCTACGAGATCATTTTTATTGAGAAGGCTCTGTCTGCGAATTGGCTTCCTTCTTCTCGTCAATTGTTAATAGTTCCTCGGCCTTCTTCTCAAGATCAGCGACAGCCTGTTGGGCTTTCTGCTCCAGTCCGATTACAGCCCCAGAGACGTTGCGCAGGGTCTTAGGCTGAGAACCCTCAGTACTAAGACGGGTCATTTCAGAGACAAAGCTAGCACCCCACCAAGCACTTGTGTACTTGAAGACATAACGTTCGAGCTTCTTGTAGTTGGCTTCACGTTGTTCGGGGCTCATGGTAACGGCGTCATGTAAAGCATTGGCAAGTTCTTCTGTGTTCCAAGGATTGACGATGAGACTGCCATTGAGCGATTGAGCAGCACCTGTGAATTCGCTCAAAATCATGACGCCGTGGTTCTTCTGTTGTGTCGCAATGTATTCGTAGGACACCAAGTTCATACCGTCTCGAGTGGATGAGACCAAACAGACGTCAGATACAGCATACAGGGCAGTAAGCTCGTCGAAAGTGACGGATTGGTGGAGGAAGTGAATGGGCATGAACTCAATGGTACCAAACTTTCCGTTGATACGGCCGACCAGTTCGTTGACCACAGCACGGAGATTCTGATACTCTTCAACGTCTTGTCGCGAAGGCACAGCAACCTGAACCAGGACGATTTTGCCAATCCATTCCGGATGTTCGGTCAGGAACACCTCAAGAGCGTGTAATTTCTGAGGAACACCCTTGATGTAATCCAAGCGATCGACTCCAACGACGAGCTTGACACCCTCGAACTTTCGGCTCAGTGCAGCGATACGTTCTTGTACTTTTGGCTTCTTCAGCCCTTCAACGAAGTTATCGGGATCAATTCCAATAGGGAAGGCGCCAACTGTCACAAAACGGCCATTCCAATCGACACCGTTGGGGGTCGTGGGACACTCGAGAATGCGGGAGCAACTGCTAAGGAAGTGACGAGCGTAGTCGTATGTATGGAAACCGATAAGGTCGCAGTCAAGAAGTCCAGTAAGGAGTGCTTCTCTGACAGGTAGAATTCTGTAAATTTCACTGCTGGGGAATGGTGTATGGAGGAAGAAGCCAATCTTGACATTCTTTTTCGATTCGCCGATCTCCTCACGAAGCATTTGGGGGAGGAGCATCAGATGGTAGTCATGAACCCAAATAAGGTCACCATCTTGCACATCCTTGATAACGGTCTTGGCAAAGAGGCGGTTGACTTCTTGATATGCGGCCCAAGCGGACTCGTCGAACGTAATCTCGCCAGGGTGGTAATGGAAAAGAGGCCAAAGAATTGAGTCTGCAAGCATCATGTCAGGCACGTTCTTGCGGTGTCGAAATCGTATTACTTACTAGAGAACCCATTGTAATGTCTGTCGGCAAGTTCATCGTCGATAAAAACCGGGTGCGCGCCGTACTCGTCTTTCAGTCGTTGCTTCATACCCTCGACTTCGTTGTCAGGTACCTCGAGACCTGGCCAACCATACCACTGGAAACTGGTGGTTTTGCTAAGACCACTGAGACCCGTGACAAGACCTCCAGAAGACATGGAAAACGAATAGCTACCATCTTCCGATCGCTTAATTGTGATGGGCAATCGATTGGAGAGCAGCAACAGGCGGCCTGGGGCAGCTTGGCCATTCTCATCGACAGCACCGGGCATGATGACGGTATTGAAAGAAATAGTCTCAAACAGGGAGATTTGGGATGTTGAATAGTTGAAAGAAGATAACTTGAGAAAGGAAAAAAGGTCGGAGTGTAGTCGGCCTCGTCGCGGTTCTTTGTGGTCGATGACCGATGATCGATTGTCGATTGTGGAGGGGCAGGTAATTGACCTGGCAGCTGGTTTAGAGCCGAGAGGCGTAGATCCCCAGTAGTGGAGTTAGTGTAAGAAGCTTTGGGCTGTTGAATAGCGAAACGATGACGCTATTGCGCGTAAGGTCAGTCGATTTATTGGAGAAGAACGTGGGAAGCGGAGACGGTAAAGAATTGAAGAAACAAGGACTTTCTGTTGATATCAAGAGCCAGATGTGTCTGCAACTGTTGAGAGCAGTAGAGGGAGTTAATCTAAAGAAGATCAATAAGACCAAGCTTCGAATGAGAAGTTGACAGAAGTTAGAGGGGAGAGATCAGGTTCTAATAAAACAGCAGAAGAATATCGCAGAAACTGGCCAGAAGCATGGATGGGGCTGAGGGGCATAAGAAATGGCAAGTGAGGGGCATCTGACACCTGCCCGCAACCAGCAGTCTACATACTGAGTACTACCCAGGCTGGCCAGGTTACACTTATTATTTACCTTACCTTCCAGGTTGTGCCTGATTCTGATAAAAACCTTAGTTCATGAGTTGGAAAGTGCGCTAACAAACTTACGATTCACTTTAACATGTGTAAATTCGAGCACATTCGAAGTAACATGGGAGATCAACAACTTGTTCTCTCGTGCTCCTCTTTATTCCAGTCACCACATGCCTGATCTGATTTCATTGCAATATGTAATGTCTCATGCTTTCTTTTCCCTCAGTAGGTATTATCCCGCAAGCCGATAGCTTCCGCCTCCCGGTTGTACTCTATTCGTTGAGATAGAGATCCGGGCCGTTTACCTCAAGATGGGAATGGAGTGGAGGGAGGAGGCATTTACACGGGCCGGGTCTCTATCGACAAAGAAAAACACCACTGGACACTCAACACCATCCTACGCCTGTCAATCACCCACGAGCCATTGGCTTTCGTGTACAGCAACAACGAGAAGAATGCCAACAACAAATTGAGAGGTCCGGGTGTGAACAAGATCTCCACTCCTATACATCTGCCTATTGGTGCTTCTAAAGGTCTGTAACCGGAGGGCTGCCCGGAGGTGTTTCCGGAGACGGGATCGCATCGGCCACTATACGGGCATTACGGACAGTATTTGTTCTCGATATTGTTAAGGAATTCAGTAAATGGCAAAAGCTGGTCAAGAACGTGCGGGTCTCCACATCTGTGATATCAAGCCTGATTCTGTGACTCTATTAACAGCCAGCCTAGTAGGGGAGGAAAGAAACTCAGGACCTTGATCCTAAATGACAAAAAAACTTAGGTTAACTTAGCATAGGTTTAAAATATCGTTTACTGGGTTTATTTTGACATCCTATGCCAAGGTCCGATGTTTTCTTGCTCCCTGGGGCCAGCCCAGCCAGCTGTAGTGATGGAAACGTGACGCTTTCAGGGCACTCTTCGTTCGGGTTCCATGGATCAGATAGGTTACAAAGCCCAAGTATGTACTAGATTTTCTGCCGCTGGATTTCACGAAGTGGGCTTTACCATTACACACAGGCCAATGAACAAATTGATAACAAGGACAAGGTCATGTTTTTTCCTTGATGGGGTTCATCGGCCGGACCAGAACGTCCTGAACCTCTGTCAGCATCAAAGATAAAGCCCGAAAATAGGTAAGAGAATTGATGGGAGCCTGCACCCTAACTTATCACTGGGTTGCAACCATCTGCCCGTCTCAAATCGGCGAGGTTTGCATAGCCGTCGGCCCGGGAGCCGCAACTACATTGCACCCATATCTAGGTATCTTCGGTCCAAGTATGGGTGTCTGGAAACTGTAGCAGCTTTTCGATAAACATTTCTTCATCGTGCTATCTAATCGAATATAAGGACTACTTTGTAATCTATAATACTTAATAGCTTACAGGCATGCTATGATAATGTGTCTCAGTCTGAGGGTGGGCAATGTTTGGATCAATCACCTCAAGCTGAGTTCAGACGTTTTGCACATCTAAGTGAACATAAATAGAAGGAATCTCCCATTCAAGAACTCCTTCGTCTGCGAAAAAGCTACTATCCTATACTATAAAACACTAATATGTAGTACGTATATCAATGTTGGGTTTTGATTTCCTGACCTCCCCAAATTTGAGGTCCATAGCGAAGACGACATCCCATAACTTGAGGTGTGGAAGTTTGTCATGTCTTTATTCTTTCTCATAACGGAGGTGAGCATATTAGACATAACCGCAACTACTTCACTCAGATATATAGTGTATAGAGACATATGGATAGATCAGACATTTTTTACATCTTCCTAAATACATTATAAAAGTGCATTCTGAACTTTTCACCCCTTGTCATCATTCTCACTTGAGCAACTACCATGCACTAACCTAGACACTAACTTTACCCCATAGTTTAGTACTAAGGTAGGTAACGCGCAGAAGACTGAAATATTATCTTATCGATAAGCGCAACTAAATCTAGGAATTTTTTTGGAATCAACACAGCATCGCGACATTAGGCATAGCTACCAACTGCACGCGCAACGTGCATCTCCTGTCGCAAACATGGAGCAATCTCAAGACTTCAAGTCGCTCCAGGAGAGTGTCCAGAAGTCACTTATTTCCACAATCAAGACTGTGAACCGAATCGCCGCCGAAGACCTAAGTTTCCAACGGACAGTCAATCCTAGCGTGGGCCAACTACTCGAAGATCGAACGTCGCGGATCCTCGAACTCTCCACACAACTTCTTCTGACTGCCGGTAAGGCGTGTGGTGTCAAGGCGCCCAAGCTTGAAGATGTAGAAGACATCGAAATGAACTGGAGGGGCGTCGTTGACGTTGTCGATTCATCACTCGAGAAGGCCGACACAGCCTTGGATGAATACACAGGGCTTGTCAAGAGAAAGGAGCCAACCTTACCTGATCCTGTATGTTAAATATACCTTGTTTGGAGTAATACAGCTAATTAACGAAGGCGGACAAGTCCAAGAAGCCCAAGTCCACGAACAAGGTTATCCGAAACGCCAATATGACCAAGCCTCAACTCCTTTTCGAACGAAAGCCTGATAACTTTGCTCCTGCTCCATGGAAACCGATGCTTACGTCGAAGCCAAATGCCAAGTTATCTTTGGAGGAAAGCCTCAAGGTCGTTCCTAATGAGGCTGGCACACCACAGTATGTCCGCCATATTCAAAACAACCCTTCATGAATCATTTGCGATTGCAGACCACTGATGATAGTCAAATACTAATGTTCGCTTCACAGATACCAACATCCTTATGAACACGAAATTGTCCGTATGTCATATCCGAAACGAGTCTTCAAGGAATCCGAGCCCATCATGTACCAGCCGGTCGAAACAACCGCGGCGACTTTTGTCGACACATACGAGGGCATTCTGGAGATGCTGGAGGAACTGAAGGGCGCCAAGGAGATTGCGATAGATCTGGAACACCACGATTTTAGGTCCTATGTTGGACTCGTATCTCTCATGCAAATCAGCACGCGAGAGAAGGACTGGATCGTCGATACTCTACAACCCTGGCGCCATAAACTTGAGGTTCTGAACCAAGTTTTCACCGATCCCAATATCGTCAAGGTTTGTCTCCAAAGCCCGAGCAGTCAAAATTACAACTAACACATCAAAAGGTTTTCCATGGTGCATACATGGACATGGTTTGGCTTCAGCGAGATTTGGGACTGTATGTGAATGGTCTCTTCGATACCTTCTTTGCGTGCGAGCAACTTCACTATCCAGCCAAGAGCTTAGCCTATTTATTGTCTAAGTTCGTCGACTTTGATGCAGACAAGCAGTATCAACTGGCTGACTGGAGGATACGCCCACTACCAGAGGAGATGATGTACTATGCTCGGTCCGACACCCACTACCTGCTCTACATCTACGATCGGGTACGAAACGAGCTTGTTGCTGCCTCTGATAGAGGTGATGTCAATAAAGACTACATTGGCCGGGCAGTGGAGAAATCAAAAGAACAGTCACTTTCCCGCTACGAACATCCCGGTTATGATGAAGAGACTGGTGAAGGCTCTCGTGGCTGGTATGGTTACATCTTCAAGAACTCGCACTTAGCATTCGATAGCGAACAATTTGCTGTCTTCAGAGCCTTGTGGAGGTGGAGAGACAATACCGCCAGGAAAGAGGACGAGAGTACCAACTACGTTCTCAGCACCAGGGATATCACAGAGATTGCCCGAATCAACCCCCCGGACGCAAAGGCCTTACACAGCTTGTTACCCCTGAATGCTTCTCTAGCACGACCACGTTTCAATGAGATCTGGGAGCAAATTAAAGAGACCAAGGCAAAGGGTGGACCTAGCTTGCTTCATTTCTTCACCTCGATGGCGCCGGATAGCGTGAGAAAGAATGGAATGCCTATTGCAGCCAGGCAAACTACAAAGTTACCGGACCTTGATGAAGAGATCACGGTCAGTAGGCTGACTCGGTCGCAGTTATTTGGCGATATGCCGATCAGCTCTAAATGGGATCCTTCAACGCGACCAACCGAAACTGCGGAGGAGCTTATTCCGTTCCCTTGGCAGAGATTCATACAACAAGGCTCGGTTAAAGGAGATGTTCAACACGATACAGCCGCCGAAGAAGTCAAAGTCCATGAGCAAACTGATAATGTGGAGAGCGCAGCTGGCAATGCTGAAGTTGAAGAGGCTGACGAAGAGTTTACGTTGAGGAGGGGTCAGAAGCGAAAGTCGCAAGCGATTGAAGAATCCGAGTCAAGTGAAGAGGGCACGGATTCATCACAATATGATAGTGACGATGAGATGCAAGATGGTGGTGGAGTCATCGCTGTCGAAGATGAACCCTCCCAAAAAGTATCCAGGAGTGCTCGCCGCAAGCTTCGCAAGGCAGAGGAGAAGAAGGCTGA